CGCCCCTGATACGCCGAGGTTGAGGGCGCCATCTCCCGTCAGGGCGCATGCAAAAATTCACTAGCGAATGCATCAATAAGCAGAACAATAAACTGATGTTTCTCCCTTACTCTCTTCCCACCTCTTCTTCTCTCTCTATTTAAAATCAATTTTAAACAATGATACAAGCTATGAAAGAAAAATCAGAATGAAAAAACTCATATAGGTAATAGAACTCAGCAAATTATTAGAAAGAAAAGAAAAGTAATTTAGGAAATTAAGACTGAATTAGAAGTTAGAGAACAAATAAACACCTCACCTAATACCTTAGGGAAAACATGAGGAGAAAAAGAGGGATAAACTGTTGTTTTAAAAAACCGAAGAGGATTTACAGGAAAGTAACAAATGTAGATACAAGGCAAAGAGGATCTAACTCACCTAGACCAGGAGCCCCAAAGAAGAAAAACCAACGCAACGGACAGAACTGACAACAGAATGTGTAATTTAAGAAAGTTTTCCTGATATTAAAAAAAGATTCAAAGTGACATATTGAAAAGAAATATACCTAAGGAAATTGCCTAAGAATAAATATCAAAACATATCCTAGTAAAATTATTGGTCCTTCTTATTTCAAATTTTTAAAAAGATACTTTGAGAACCATGTAGTCCACATTTCCTAGTTCTTCTTCAAAAGGACGTAGAAACAACAATCCAGAAGCAATGAGCCTCTCTGGTGCCCAAGTTTTGGCCTTGAAACACCATTTCACCACTGAAAGGAAGTGTGTTTCTTGAGGACACGGTTGTTTCTTGGTCTGAAGAATGAAGTGTGTGTTATGAGCTCAGAACACCTTGTCGTGTCAGAACAAGGGAGGTATTAAGGAGTAACAGCACTGTTTCTCAGGAGAAAAACTGAAGAGAATTCCACAGGCCAAAGAAAAAATTGTGAGTCACCAAAAGATAATAATTGCAATGGACTGAAATACATAAGGTATATTTAAGTTAGTGAGAGTATAAAGATGCTAAAGAAAAATAACTAGTCACCTTTGCAGGATCATAAGACACCAAAATATTATTTTGAGTATTAGAAAATGAAAACGATGTGTTTTTATTTGAACTGTGTGGTGGATACAGGAACCTATGCATGTGATAAAACTGCATCAAGCTAAATGTATGCCTACACATACAGATGAGTATTGGCAAAGCTGGGGAAATCTGAATGAGATCAGTGAATTGTATTTGGCAATATGCCCTCTCCTGAGTGTGTTGTCGTATAATTTTGCAAAATGTTATCACCGGGGGAAACTGTATGAAGGGTACAAAGGATCTCTATGTATTATTTCTTACAACTGCATGTGCATCTGAAATTATCTCAAAATAGCTTTAAAAAATCTTCATCAGCAAAATTTTGTGGATTACATATTACACAATATATTCTTGAAAAGTACATTTTCTTAGGAACATATTTCACTTATGAATGAGAATATATGTATGAAGCGTTCTTAGAAGTCTATCGTCTCATGCCCCTCAACCTCCCACTATTCTATTCTGTCTGTCAGTGCAGGTATGGTGGCAGGTTGACAATTTAATGTACATTATGACTTCACATCCCTTTGCTAAAGTTGTATGACTGGCATTAGTAAAATATTTGAATTAGCTTCAAGACCCTTCAAAATTAACATTTTAAGCCAAGTTGATTATGCCTAATGATGAATAACGATATGGTAGAAACTGGTGATGTTGATGGTAATGACTGAGGTGGTTTTGGTGGTGGTGATGATGATGATAATGGTGATGGTGAGAGTGATGATGGTGAGGGTGATGATCAGGATGACTGGGTTGTTGTTCATGAGTTATTTGCATGCTGGCATTAGATTCTAATTTTTCCAACCTGCAAGGTGACTCTCTCAGTAAAAGGAAAATTACCATACCTGGGAGACAGAACTAGATTCAGAGCAGAGGTGTAAACCAACACTTTAATTGCCCCTGTAGTAAGGGCTCCAGTCTCTGCAGTGACTTCATCCCACGAGAGCTTCTGCCCATGTACATATAAAAAGACACGCAGGTCTCCCGAGCTCAGTGACCCCCCCTTTTTTATGGCCGTGATAGCCCCTTTGAGTAAATGTAGAACTAGAAATAAACCTGTATGTCCTCTCATTTTCTGATATTTACTTCCTGATTGTTGAAACCAAGGACATCCTCTAAAACTTCCAGAGACTGTCCATTTTGCCTCAGCACAGGTACTTACAGATTTAAAGCAATTTTACGAAAACAGTATTTCTTTCACGAACTCCCGCTTTCAATGCAGGATGTTTCCAACCTATGTTCACTTTCATCTCTAAGTGTTTTTTACTTTGTGCCTTGTGTTCTCAACAGTAGTCATGAGCCTCTGATAATGGTCTGGTGAAACTGGAGGTAATAATTTATATCCAGTGTGGGGGGTCATGTCTCCCTATTTGTGTCATTCGATGACTGTGGGAGTGAAAATTAAATCAATGCTATCTACGATTTTCCCATTTGCACTGTGCTGGGTGAATGGTATCGACTCTGCACTGCTTTCTAAACAACTCTGAATTCTGGTAATGGTATATTCAGGTGGATTTTCTGTCTTTCTGATTGTCTTTAGAGGCGGAAATTAGGTAGGAGGGAATATGTGAGAATTTTTAATCTACTGTGATCTAGAGGAAATTTATTTTCTCCTTTGTAATAAATGGAGATAATAGTCAAATAATCCTAGCTATTTCTGGTAGTAGTTATTACGAAGTTAAATACCTCTTAAATACCCCACTGCTGATAAGATAACAAATAAAGGTCAAGATGCAATGCAGATTTTCTTCTCTTTAACCACACCCTAAGGATTTAAAGACTCTTACACCTAAGTAAATGCAAAACGGTTAGTGCCAAAGTTACTATTATAGGACCCAAATGAGACAAAGGGTTTTAAATTGCTATATTAGAAAACAGGTTAAGATGTTTTAAAGCTATTTATACACTTACACATGTGTAAATATATCCACGCATCGAAAAATGTAGAAGGCGGTCATCACCAGCGTTGATCTCCACGGAGCAGAAAATGGTATTTTATTTTTGCTTATTTGTATTTCTTTTCCTCCTTCTTCTTTTAACTTTTTATTTTTTTACTTTGCTTTTCTATTTTCATACCTATTTTCTTCTCTTTTCTTTCTTATTTATTTATTTATTCATTTATTAATTTTCCTTATTTGTATTTCTCATTTTCTACAGTGCAGATATACTACCTTGTTAGTTTTCTTCAATGTACCTAAAATTGCCAATGAACTCTTCCTTCTACCTCTGAAAATTCAATAACTTTAGTGAATGATAACAAATTTCTACACAAAGAGAAGCTACAGGAAAACAACAGGGCTTAAGAGGAACAAAACGCACTGGTAGGCAGAGGTTCTCGGTTTGGGGCCCAGTTCTGCCTCTTGCTCACTGCATGATAGGATAATGTGTTTAACTTGAGAGCCTCGGTTTCCTAGAGAATGGAAGGTAATGGAGATTACCCTTATCTCCTGCTCCATGCACAACCTAAGACATCAGGCGGAAAGCACGCTGAACAGCATTTCTTAGCGCTGGAGGTGTGCAGGTACATAAGGCTGTGCATGTGGGCCGAGGGGAGAAGCCAAGGACCAAGGGAGCAGTCTGAGCCCCAAGTCCCAGTAATTTTGAGTCTGGTGCTTCAATTTTCTCAACATGAAAAAGGGAATAAAATTCCTACTCTAAACATGTTTCTCCTCATACCCAAAAATTGTAGCAGGGGTTAATAACATGGACCTTTGAAGACCACTGTCAAAAAGTTAGTAATTACATAAGGAAGCATGAAAATGCTGAGGGTTTATGGTTTTTACCTTAGGAAATTCATCTCAGAGACAGTTTGTCTATAGGTATCATATCCAGCCATGAAGATCCGTGCTTCCTAGGTTCCTGTCTATAATTTGAGTACTATGCCAGTAGGTGGATAATGGGGCCACGGTTTACTCAATATTATGGTCTGAGAATAATGATGATAATAATAAGAGTAATAATAATAATAATGGCTGTAGGGCACTTAATCTGGAGTATTCTATGTGCCTGGGCCCAGGCTGCAACACAGATCAGTGAAATCAACCACTGTTGGTAGAACCCACACATCGTTCCTTACTTTGAAAGGCTCCAGGTAGTTACAACATACGGTCAATGTTGAGAACCACTGTCTCATGGCCTTAAGTTCAGTGAAAAACAAAGAAACGATTCTAACAACCTAATGACAACTCACATTTTTATAGCAGCTGAGTGCTTGAAAAAATTTTCTGAGTGATCATTGACCACTATTAGTTTTACAACTACTTTGGAATTGATATCAATAATTTCTTCATCTTGCAGATACAAAAATCGATTTGTACTCAGTGTCACAGATTTAACTACTATATCATCCTGACACTGCATCAATTTGAGATGGGCATTCATATATTCATATGCAGTAAATATTTAGGGATTGCATAGATTACAGCTAAATTTCATTTTTTAAGCAAAGTATATCTCCAGCTATAAAATATGAAACATACTGCTTATTACCTACAGGGAAGAGGGTCTCAATCTTTAGCATGCATTGGCATTGCCTGGAAAGAATGGTGAGCCTAGACTGAGGTGCCCCATCCCCAGAGTTTCCGACTTGGTAGGTCTGGGGTGAGGCCTGAGAGTTTGCCTCTCTAATGTACAGGTGGTGCTGATGCAGCTGGTCTGGGGACTACACCTTAAGAAGAAATGCTCTAGGATATTTGAGAAACATGCAAGTGTTAAAAGACCCAGATCTCGGCCCTGTTTCCCTCCCATCTTCTTGAAATTTGGAACACCCAGGATCCAGTCTTTCTCTCAGAGACAGCAGGAGGAGAGAAGGATGCATCTGGAAAGAACCCAGAATCATTCAGCTGGTTCCAAATGCGCAAAACCAGCTTCACCAAGCAGTCCCAGATGCATCCTCTCATGGAGTTCTCTCTTCCCCTCACAGGGCTCCCAAACGAAGGAGAATGGCTGCAGAAAATCACTCTACAGTGGTGGAGTTCATTCTCGGGGGATTAACAAAGCGACCAGAGCTCCAGCTCCCCCTCTTTCTCTTCTTCCTTGGGATCTACTCCGTCACCATGATAGGGAACCTGGGCATGATGACATTAATTGGTCTGAGTGCTCAGCTTCACACCCCCATGTACTTCTTCCTCAGCAATCTGTCATTCGTGGATCTCTGCTACTCTTCTGTCATTACCCCTAAAATGCTCGTGAGCTTCTTGTCAGAAAAAAGCAACATCTCCTATGCAGGATGCATGTCGCAGCTGTACTTCTTCCTTGTGTTTGTCATTGCTGAGTGTTACATGCTGACAGTGATGGCCTATGACCGCTATGTTGCCATCTGCAGGCCTTTGCGTTACAACATTATCATGTCTCATCATGTCTGCTCCCTGCTGGTGGCTGTGGTTTACCTCATGGGGCTTGTTGGCTCAACAGTAGAGACTGGCCTCATGATACAACTGCCCTATTGTAAGGACCTCATCAGTCATTACTTCTGTGACATCCTCCCCCTCATGAAGCTCTCCTGCTCCAGCACCTATGATGTTGAGGTGACAGTCTTCTTTTTGGCTGGATTCAACATCATAGTCACCTGCTTAACAGTCCTTGTTTCCTATGCCTTCATCTTCTCCAGCATCCTCCGCATCAGCACTGCAGAAGGAAGGTCCAAAGCCTTTAGCACCTGCAGCTCCCACCTTGCAGCTGTGGGGATGTTCTATGGATCCACTGCATTCATGTACTTAAAACCCTCCACAGCCAGTTCCCTGGCCCAGGAGAACGTGGCCTCTGTGTTCTACACCACAGTGATCCCCATGCTGAACCCCCTAATCTACAGTTTGAGGAACAAGGAAGTAAAGACTGCCATCCAGAAAACACTGAGGAGAAAAATGTTTTGATGCCAAAGCTATCATTCTTCCTTATTTTGAAAAGTAAGTGTTATAAATACCCACAAGAAGCCCTCTGAATGCCCAACCAACAATGGGGAACAATCACTTTTCTGCAAGGTTGGGCAAAAACCGCCTTTGCTTCTTCCCTCTTCCTTCCTCCCATCTCACTACTCTCATTGCTTCTTGAATCCAGCTGATTTCAAGGTCACGTTTCCTTTTATTTGGGGTCCATTTTCCCTGTCCTGAGCCTTTTGCATTGAGTTTTGAGAGTCATCATTGTTTTATTATCTTTAGGTAGAAAATATTACTCAACCCAATTCCCCCTCTCTCTCTCTCTCTCTCTCTCTCTCTCTCTCTCTCTCTCTCTCTCTCTCGCATTTAGGAGTACACAAAGCAAAGAGAGGTGAATTTGAAAACCCCCAAGACCTAATACACAGCTCATTTCTCAACTCAACTCTTACTCTCCTTTCTTGTTATTCCTGCACAAGAATTTATACCTGGTCTCTTTATGTAATTTTCTTAGTGATAATAATACTAGCTGTTAACATGGTTTTTGTTGCTTATTCTGAGTCTACAACTGTTCTGGATGCTTTATATGTATTTTTTCATTATACTTCACAATAGTGAGGTATTTTTGTTATCCCACTTTGCAGATATGGAAACCTGGTTTAGTTACCTATTTAAGGTCACATAGCTGGTAAACAAAGACACTGGGATTTACACCAAAGCCTAAGTGACTCTAGAACCCACACTACTGGCTCTCAATCATTATCCCCTTTGCTATAGGTGAACACTCCCTTTGAATATCCAATGAAGTCTGCCTACTTATGTTCTTCTAATTTCAAATGCCTCCTGAAAATACAAGGTCTGGAAAAAAGTCCAACCATTGTTAATAAAATGAGAATGATCTGTGTGACATGGATGTAACCTGGCAGTCAAGGAGATTGGACTGGAATGCACATGTGTGAACAATGACGACTTCACTGTTCTAGTCAGTCGGGGCAGTAGATGCCATTGAGTGAGTATGTGTATGTAGTGGTGGTCATCGTATTCAAAATGACTGAACAAGAAGATCAATGAATCTGAATCAAATTTTGCGTTAAGCTTAAACGTTCTTCTGTGGATACTATTCCGATGATTCAAAAGGCCGCAGCTATGGGTAACTGGTGATTGGCAGCTTCAACACAACATATTCACTCATTCATCACATTGTGCAGAGTTTTTTGGAGAAACATCAAATCAGCTAAATGACTCAGCCCCTCTACAGCCCAGATTTGGAGCCTTGCAACTTCTGTCATTTCCCAAAACTAAAATCTCCTTTGAAAGGGAAGAGATTACAGGCCATCAATGAGATTCAGGAAAATATCACAGGCCAGCTCATGGCAACTGGGAGAACTGTATGAAGTCCCAAGGTGCCTACCTTGAAAGGGACTAAATTATCATCGTCCTATGTACAATGTTTCTTGTATCTTCTTCAATAAATGTCTCTTTTTTGTATTACATGGCTGGATACATTCTGGAAAGACCTCCTATTTTCCCAGACTCCCATCTTTTACCATCTGCCCTATCCTCTCCCATTCATGAGAAACTTCTTTAAGATGACTAAGGAAAGCTTACACTAGAGTGACCAACCCAATCTGCTTTTAGAGCTAAAAGTCCCACCACATCCTGGGAAACCCTCCATCCCAAACAAACCCGGCTGCTTGTTCATTCTACATTACACATGCTGCAGAATCTCTGGCCATGCTTAAGTAACTGATAGATCTACTGCCAAGCTCACTCAGCAGATCCAGTGGCCATGGGACAAACTTTGTCCCCTTGTTTATAGCGACATCAAGGATGCTTGTTTTAAACTTAGCAGCCTGATATAGTGCGAAGCATTTGTGGACATCCTCTTGTCATTTCTAGCTATTTTTGGTATAATACTGTATCAATCAGTGGTTATTATGAGAAAGAACTAGTTTTCTCAAACAGGAAGAGATTGCATACAAGGAACAACTTGCTTACAGTTTTTTGAATGACTGAAGAAGGGGTGAGGGCCCCCCAAACTGACTCCACAATAGATATGACTCAGAGATCAGGAAGCTCCTGCTGCCACTGTGACCCCTGCCACCATGAAAAAATGCCTGTCACACTCACAGAACTGGTAAGTAAACAACTGCACCCAGTTTGAGTGTCACATGGAAACTTGCTGGCAATGAAAATTTGGGGGCCCTGCTCCACACCTACAAAATTAAAATTACCAGGTGGGGCCCTCCAATGATTCTGCTATGTACTGAAGTGTGAGAGCCACCTCACAGTCTTCCCAATCCTCCCATCTTCCCAGTCTCACACAAGTGCACGTAGATACTGGAAACTGATTCACATCCAGGGCTGCAGCTACAGGGGAAATTGGGATATGTAATTTTAGCTTTTTGACCTGACTACAAGGAGGGTAGAAGGGATATTGAGAGAGCTGTTATTGCCAAATGGCTATTCTGCCCTTTTTTCCTGACCTCCTTCCAGCAGGAACTGAGTCCTCTACCACTATAGGTCCCCTCTAATTCGGAGAAAATGTAGGAAAATATCTTTGTTATCTGAGGATGAGAAACCAAAAAGCCAAATAAATTGGTGAATATGATAACATTCAAAATTCAGATTTTTGTTCAGTAAAGGACACCAGAGATAGACTTAATGGAAATACAACAGAATGGAAGAAGACATCTCACTGGCATTTATTAGAAACTTCAATATCAACAAAAAATATAATGGGCACGCTATGTAAAACAATTTAGAGAATAGAAACCTTGAAGTGCCACTCAGTATACGAGGACATGCTCAAACCTATTGCTATCAGAGAAGTACAAAATAAAACAAGATCTATTTTCACACTCACCATGGGATAAACAAACAGGTAAAGTGTAGGGGAGACTTTGCAGCAGTTGGAAGCAAAGCCATTAGCCACAGGCAACATAGCTTAGAGCCTTAGAGCCATAGTGACATGTGAGAAAAGAAAGTTAATGAGATGTGAAACAATGTTATTCATGTATATTAAAATTACACATACACAAACCAGAAAAAAAGCATATTTAGAAAAACATAACTAATAAAATACTCATTAGGCAGGTTAGAATGGTTACCCAGAGAGCTCAGATGCATGGAAGTAGGGAGGGAGAAAAAGAGAAACAGAATCAAAAACTGCTTTTCCTAGATCCACCCCAAGGTGCATATGATGCACAGCGAGAGAAGCCCAACATGAAAGCGTGTATACACACGATTCCACTTCCATGGGGTGCGATGAGACACAATCCACCTGTGCTGTTAGACGTCAGGATAATATTCCCCTTTGGGGATGATAGTTATGAGAAAAGAGCACAAAGAGGGCTTCTGGGCTGTTAGTAACATTCTGTTTCCTGATCAGATGAAAGCTGATTGAACTGTCCACTTATGTGTCTATGAATGTATGTGTTTTATACTTCACTCAGTAAAAATGTAAACTATTTTTTAAAATCGAAAGAAAATACATGAATACAAACCAATAATAAACATTTGGCAAAAACACACATGATGAAAAGATACAGAAATGAGAGTGTGGAGAGGCTAAAGTGAAAGGAAATAAAGGATCCCTGCTCTCACTCCCATGCCGGGTCACTCCAGTTAGCGCGTGCAGGGCAGCCGTGAATCAGAGCTGGCCCCCTAGCCTGGTGATGGGGGAGAGAGACAGGCCCAGGCCAAACGTTTCTGGGCCCAGGTAAAACAGTTCAAATAGAGGCCCACATACTATTTATCTAAAATTTAAATGCTATAAATAAAGCTAGCAAACTGTTAAATGAAATGTGTTCTATCTGCCTACCTTGACATATTTAGGCACACACACACCCCCCTTCATAATGATCAGAGATGCCAGGTTTAAATTTAGAATTCTCAGACTCCCAAGGTCCCTTCCCAACCCAGCAAAGTACCCACATTGCAAGTAGCCTCATAATTGCATGTGTGGGCATCCCAGCACTTCTTAATTCCACCTGAACTCCCACAAGGAGCCATTCCTTAGTGCCAGGGGTGCATACCAGTGACCAGATTTGCCCACGTGAGGCTGCACCCAAGGAAAAGGCCTGCACAGGCCTTGGAAAAACGCTGGTGCCTCCTGGTCATGGAATTACAGCACCCCAGGTGCCAGGAGTGGTCTAGAGAAGATACATAGGCTCTGAGTAGGTATATCCCTTTGGGCCCCATGGACTCTTTGCCTTGTAGAAGGCCACAGGCAGAGGGGACCAGTGTGAAGGCCAAGGTCAGGGCCTCTCAGGGCAGATGGCCTATGTCCCAGTCCTTTCCCACAGATCCAACCCCACCAAATGGAAGTAACTTGACATTTGCCCTATACTTCACAGTTTACAAAATACCTTCACATATAATACTCTGAATCAATCCTCTCCATCTTGTAAGATTACAATACGATGCCATTTGATAGATGAGAACACTGAACCAAAGTAACTTCCTGAAGTCATACAATAAAAAAAAAAATGAGTTCTGCCAGGTCTCCAGTAAAAGACTTTTCCTTCCCAATGTCAAAGGTCACGTTCATCCATTATTCAACACTGCCACCCATCCCTTAGTGTTCTAAAGAACAAATGGATGCTTAAAATTATAACTATATGGAACTCATAAATATGAAGCAGGGAGGGGATTTTAACACCAAATACAGAATCCCTTCTGAGAAAGAGCCTGAGCCCAAAGCAAATCTCATCACTGGTACAAACAATACTATGTAGGAGTAGCAGTCCTAGCTGAGTCTTGGGGTTCCCACCCCCACCTCAAACCACAAAATGAGGACCTTCAACACAACTAAGCAATCTCCACCCAAATTCTGCACCAATTACATGGGTGGGGGGAGGCCTGGCCACACAGCCCGCCTTCTCTCCACCACCCCACCAAAAATACTTTATTAATAAGAGGGCAGCATAAAGCCATGGGCCTCCCTCTGCTCAAGGACAGTCCACAGAGAGCAGCCTGGCACCAGCCCCGGCTGATACCCGACCCTCCTCTAGCAAGGACCCACTAAGCTATGCCTCCCTCTAATTACCAGGTGTCTGGCCCAGGGCCTGGCCAGTTATTTAGAGAACCAGTGCCTGCTTCTGGCACAGATGTCTATAAGGCTGGGGCTGCAGGCACTATCTGCTCAAAACCAGCTTCTTGAAGCTGTCATCTCCTCACACTACTATCCTGGGACCCCTCCTGCTGCCTGCGCACCCCAAAACTCAGCAGCATCATGTCACTTGCACACACAGCTGCAGAGTACATGCTGTCAGATGCCCTGCTGCCCGACCGCAGGGGCCCTCGCCTCAAAGGACTGCACCTAGAACTACCCCTGGATCGCATGGTCAAGTTCATAGCCGTGGGCTTCCCCCTGTTGCTGATGTCCCTGGCATTTGCCCAGGAGTTCTCCTCCGGTAAGTGGCTTCCAAGACCCAGTGTATAGGAGACTCTACCTTGTTTTCTCTTTACATCATGGGTTCTGAAGCAAGGCAGCTCCCACATCATCTAGGTGTTATGGCTGGCCTGGGCATTACCCAAAAGGCTAACTATGTATGAGTTTAGAGTACCAGCAAAGGCACCAACATTTTTTGAAAGTTATTTCCTAAATTTTGGAAAAAAAAAAAAGATTTATTTTAAATTTCAGTATTCATGTATTTTATGTCATTGCAATAATTAAACTTTTGATTTTATATGGATGAAGGAGATTGGGGGCTCCATAATCTTTTCAGGACTCAGGACTTCTAAAGGTGTTGGTCATCCACACTTCTGATAAGTCTTGGAGCCTTCTTCCTACTCCCCACTTCCCAGATTACTGACTTAAGAACATGTGTTAAGTGCCCAACAGAGCTTAGCACATCACAGGTGAGTAAGTCCACTCCTTCCTCTCCACACACTAACATTAACACACACGTATGTAGTGTCCTATGGGAAAGATTAACTCAGCAAATCTGCCCCCTCTATTAAAGAGAATTGGGATTTCTGGCTTTCTTTCCCAGCTGTGTGAGTAGCTTGCTTGCTACATTTCCCAAAGAAGTATGCCAACTTCCCACCGCCTCTCCCTTTACCCACAAAGGGGAGAAGAACTGGTTCCCATTCCTGCCTCTTTTTAAAGAATGATGGGAAAACCAAAAACGAGAGATTCTGCCTCCAAGCCCACTTTCCTTCTAGCACTATTTATCTACCTTTTTTCTTTAGGACCAGGAATCCAGGCAACTAATCCTCTAAATTTTAGAACCCAAAGGTGTCAGCTCTCTTACCATGAAATTGAAAGCCTTCTGGCATCAAACTGCAAGATTGCAGGGAGCCTCTTCTCCCACCCCACCCCACACACACCCCTACCTCCGACCCTGTGACCCCCTGGTGCCTGCCTGTCTGGGAGTCCAGGGGGAGCTCAGAGAGAAAAAAACTGGCAGGCATTACAGGGAAGTCAGTACATGGGCAGGCCTGAGTCAAAGAGCAGAGCACTGTCCTGTCATGCCCGTCCAACGGTGACACGGGCTCGCCAGACCCAGAAACTTGGGCATGGGAAGAAGAAAGTGCCTACCACGTACACAAATTGGCAGAGTTGTGGGGGCGGCTCCTAGAAAGCTTTTAGCTGAATGTCCCCTGGATTCCAAGGGCTTCCTCAAGGGTGTATTACTGTTTCAGGGTCTCCCATCAGCTGCTTCTCTCCCAGTAACTTCAGTGTTCGGCAGGCGGCCTACGTGGACAGTTCCTGTTGGGACTCACTGGTTCACCATGAACAGGGTGAGCCTGGGCAGCACAAGCTGAAATCTCTCTGGCCTCATAAGGTAAAGTGGGCTCGGGCTCAATCAAGCCAGCTTCATGGCTGAGTGGGGTGGGACTGGACTACATCATTATACACATTTTCTCTCTTCTTCTTCACCACCCTTCCCCTTTCATGTGTTGGCCATTGATGTTCACGTTTCAGGCGTTCTTCGAATGCCTGGTGATCTGTGGTTTCTCACTGTTATCTGATTGGAGGTTTTGTGCTGATGGATGAAGCTTGCTGACCACCAGCCTTCAGTTTAAGGAGAGCCCTTGGGCCATTTCATCGGAAAAACCTCAAATGTCAGCATCTGTAATTCATTCTCTCAGGCTGGTCAGTTTTTCCAAGGAGAATGACTCAATCCCTAATTTGTGTGGAGGGGGCAGGGTGGAGTGGATGTCAGGCTGAGCTGCCAACCCTGTGGGAACTCAGATGTGGTATCAGCATTCAGTATTCAATTAACTTCTGCCAGGTTCTCAGTGTGGTCCCCCTGCTCTCGATGGACCCAAATGCAGAATCTCCCTGGTTTCATGTTTCTAAGGGGTAAACCATGGCCTTCTGCCAGGGGAGGGACGGGGCAGTCACTGCATGCGTCCTGTTACAGAATCTGCAGGGCTGGATTTTCAATATTCCTGTGTTCAGTCCCCCTTTCAGAGGCACCTGGTGTCTCTAACTCCTGAGTCTTTCTGGTTCTGCGGTGCAAGAGAGCTTGCTTATTCACTCCTGCCTCAACTCCCCATCCACTCGCGTGCTGCTGTCCTTGGCCATGCAACTGCTTTTCAGTTTACAGCGTTTTGTTGCTCTTTTGTCCTCTCCTGTTTTCTTTGTCCTCACAGGATTATGTCATTTTGATCTCTTTACTGTTGTTCAGGAGCAGAAGTCATTTATACGTCCAGTTTGCAATGTTTAGTCACAAGTCACTCGTAACATTTTGTTGTTATGACAGGTTTACCAGGTCTCAAAACACTGCAGTTCTCAGACACAGACAAAACCAGAAAATTAATGCAAAGAGGCCATGAAGTGTCTGTCACTGGAAGTGTTTGAGCAGGATCTGGAGGGCAACAGGTTCAGGACAGTATAGAGGGAATTCGTGTTAGAAAAGAGTTTAGTGTCTAGGGGTGAAGAGTTTGTTTTCAAGAAATGTCCTTTTTTAAACAGGTGTCAAAAGGTTCTAATTTTCTCTCACATACCTTTCCCAACACGTTTCTCTTGTTTAGTTCTGAAACTCTCTTACACACACACACACAGACACACACACACACACACACACACACACACACACACAACCATGTCCCTCTATCTAGATGCAACCAAATATGCTCCCTCCCTCTTATTCTTCAAACTCTCCCCCCAAATCAAAGTGCCCTGATTCAGAGAAGCTGTAGCCAAGCATCATAAGGGAATACGCTCCAAAATCAGCCTGCTGGATCCCAATTCCCATTTGCTTACCTTCTAGATGTGAAACTTGTACAAGTTACTTAATATTTTCACATTTCAGTTTCTTTGTGAAACAGAGACACTAATAGTACCTACATGATAGCGAGCGCCCCTGTGAAAATGAAGTGAAACTATGCGTGTTAAGCACCTAACACAAATGTGGCTTTAAAAGCCTTTATAGGTAGTTTTTACTGTGGGCAGGATAGAGTCCCAACCTGGTAGGTATGATAAGCATGATGAGGAAGCCAGGAAAAGTCCCTTATCTCAGGTAGCTCAAGAGAGGGGGCAGAAAAGGAAATGGGTTTGATCTGTTCTCTGGAGAGTCTAAATGCAAGTCAGCAATGTCGGGGCCTTTTGCTGGACTTAGCTAATGGGCTCTAGATGTTTGGTGATAAGAACCTGAAACAGTCAGAGAAAGAAAAGGGAAAGACTGAGAATAAAGACACCCTCTCCTGGGATGCCATGAGCATGTTGGCCTCGATTTCTGGTTAGCTGCCTCGGCTGACATGCAGGGGGAACAGGGACCCCTCTGGCTCTCTCTACACACCTCCCCCTCCCCCGCCGCTCCATCCCCCATCTCTCTCTTACCTCCTTCCTTCCTTTCTCTCTCCCTTCCATATTCTGTCTCTTGCCTCTCTGCCTCCTGCCTCTCTCCTTCCTGGGAACCTACACAGACCCCAGATCAGAAAAGCAGAGCTGGGGAGGGTAGAGATCCACCATCCTTTCTCTCCTGGGCCTCACTGTATTCAGCCAGGTCAACAGAGAGCCTAACAGCCTGGGCCTGCGGCAGCTCTTCCCTCTTCTGAGGCAGAAGCCCCACAGTCAGAGCTCTCCCCATGAGCCCCCAACACCCTGGGCCTCCCTCCTCAGCTCGCTCTCACCCCACAGGCCCTCCCCTACTCCCTGCTGGCCCTAGCCATGGTCATGTACCTGCCAGTTCTGCTGTGGCAGTATGCAGCCGTGCCGGCCCTCAGCTCAGACCTGCTGTTCATCATCAGCGAACTGGACAAATCCTACAACCGCTCCATCCGCCTGGTGCAGCACATGCTGAAGATCCAGCAGAAGAGCTCGGACCCTGATGATTTCTGGGATGATCTGGAAAAGTGAGTTGTCTCTTCCACTCCTTTCTGAAGACTTGGTCAAACGTCAATGTGATTTCCTTGCAGAGTAATGTTTAAACTATCCTTACCAGGGGGTTCCAACCTGCGGCCCACGGGCTGCATGCAGCCTAGGATGGCTGTGAATGCAGCCCAACACAAAACTGTAAATTTACTTAAAACATTATGAGATTTCTTTTTTGTGATTATGTGTCACACTGTATTTAATGTGTGGCCAAGACAACTCTTCTTCTTCCAGTGTGGCCAAGACACCAAAAGGTTGGACTCACTTGCATACCCAACCTTCTCCGAGGTGCAAACTGACACACCCTCTCATTTACTTGCTATCACTGGCGTACAGGGAGAAGAAAAAGGGTTCTGCCTCTAGTTTACAGGTGAACACAGAGCCTCCAAGGGATTGGATGCTCCAAACTACCACTGTCATATACCACTCCCCTGCTCAGGAACCTCCAGTTGCTCCCCTCATGCATACAGAAGAATATCCACGATCTTCCAAGTGTTTGTCCAAGGCCCTCTACACACACTGTCACCAACCACTTTCTCAAACTTCTAACTACCAAGTGACAGAAATTTCCCACTCTACCTAGGGAGTCTCCTTCTTTTCTCCTAACGAGTCAGTCAGCCACCATTTATGAATACCAGACACTGGTCTGGGTGCTTTAGAGATACACGTCTGTGTGTGCACAGGGGGCAGAGGTGGGGCAGAGGTGGGGCAGAGACAAAGCTACACTGACCCATATGGGGCTTATTCTCTACTGAGAGAAAACAGACACAAATACTCATAACATGTGTAAATTGTAGGGTAGAAAATAAGTGGTTTGAAGGAAAAAAGCCAGGCAGGGTGAGGGTGGGGTGATCAGGAAAGCTGGACAGCAGTGGAGTGGCACGGTTTTAAATAGAATGGCCAGGGCGGGCCCCACCAACAGGACAGTCGGGCTAAGATCTGAAACCATACTCTGTCTCGTGTTTGTGCACGTACTCCTTCTGAACTCTATCTTTTGAAGGCCAACTCTGCAACAACGTTTTCTGTAAAGGTTTCTGAACGCTCAGCCCGTACTGTTATCCTCCCTCTCCTCATTTATAGCTACCACGGGTTGTACTCATCATTTTAACAAACCGAGCGCTATTTTTACTTTATGTTTGTGTATCGTAGCTGCCCCTTCCCCACAAGCCAGACTGTAAACATCTTCAGAACAGAGACTGGCTTATGTGTACCTGAATACCACAGCTCTCAACGAGTACTTGTTAGCACATTTATTTTTATGAAATAACTGGATTGACCTAAATGTCATACAGAATATACAGACCAGGAACCAGAATATGCTTATTTAGACTCCCCGTCCAGTGCTAATTTAATGAGCCTTACTGCTTGCTAAGAGGTTTCTTCTGCCTTGCTGGGCAGAAGTAAACCAGAGTGACAACTGATTGTTCATTGATCATTCACTGGGTTTATTGCACTGCACTCACTGCTTGGAGAACTGAGATACACTTACTTGCCTCCTTTTGGGGAGAGGGGTGGTTACGCTCAGAGAAGGCAGACTTTCAGGAGTTGAGAATGCCATGTTGGATAGGCAGATTCTGTGGCTTTTCCACATGGCTCCATTAGGATATGGTTCTAAATGGTCCCTCCTAACCTTGCCTCATTTCTTCCCCACCCAGGGCTCGGAAAGAACGATACTTTGAATTCCCCTTGCTTGAGTGGTACCTGGCATGTAAGCAGCGCTCACATTCACTAGTAGCTACCTACCTCCTGAGGAACTCCCTCTTGCTCCTCTTCACCTCGGCCACCTACCTGTACCTTGGCCACTTCCACCTGGATGTCTTCTTCCTAAAGGAATTCAGTTGTTCTGTCAAGACAGGGCTGCTAAGTAATGAGACCCACATCCCTGATCTCATCACATGCAGGCTGACATCCCTGTCTGTTTTCCAGATTGTTAGTCTCTCCACTATAGCAGTATACACCCTGCTGGTTCCAGTGATAATCTACAACCTCACGCGGCTATGTCGGTGGGACAAGCGACTCCTATCCATCTATGAGATGCTCCCAGCATTTGACCTCCTCAGCAGAAAGATGCTGGGGTGCCCCATCAATGACCTCAATGTGATCCTTCTTTTCCTCCGAGCCAACATCTCTGAGCTCATCTCTTTTAGCTGGCTGAATGTTTTATGTGTGTTGAAGGACACAAGCACCCAGAAGCACAACATTGACACTGTGATCGATTTCATGACTGTACTAGCTGGCTTAGAACCTGCAAAACCTAAACACCTCACTCATCAGGTATCTGATGAAAACCCATAGTTAGGAAACGATGGGGTGGGAAATTTTATGGGTAAAAGTCTTTCTCCTTCCTCCCAAGCCTCACTCACTAACATTAAAAAAAAATCCACTTTAAAATTGCTAAGCTTGGATTCAGCCAAATTATATATCCTGTACCGTGTTATCCTAAAGCTGAGAAGATATAATCAACACATGGAAACAAATTGGAAAGTTCAGGCTAAAGAGTCGAAGAACTAAAAAATTAGGTCTAGAGCATAATATGATAGGGAAAAAAACCTACAACTAAAATTAAATCTAGGCATTCTGCAAGGAAAGAAGGTTCTAAAGGCTATTTATGGAGGCAGGTTCTTCTTCCTATATCTAATATTCCATGGCCCTTCTAGGATACACACTCAGCTTACCCCAAAGAGCAAGTGGGTTAATCTGGAAAGAGAATAAAGATATGAAAGCCCTGAAAACCCTTTGGTGTGGCCTCAGATCCTAGGAACATGCCCACCTTGCTTTGTGGAAGACACCAACCTTGCCCAGGCCCTCTGCGGCCTGCAAAGTGGTCAGGAGATAATGATGGCAGGAACTTGCGATATGCTCTTGGGGCTTAAGGACAGTGTAGAACATGGTCAGGGCCATGCATCAGCTGTAGCTGGAGCCACACAGTGTGCAGATATACCTTTTCATCATTTAAATCAGGAACGCACTTAAACATGGGCTGGGGTAACAGGCTGTGGACCCCTTCACAACTCTTAGTAGGCCCACGTGTGCTTTTAATAGCCCAGGGGAGGCTATACGTCCACTTGCAGCCCATCACTGAAGAGTAACCACTTCAGTAAACTGCTGGTGATCCCCTTCTCTCTCTCCTCTGACTCATCACCCATCTTATGTGCTAACTCCCATCCCTGTGTCTGTATTTAACGAAAACTTGATCCGACTCCAAAAGCCACGCTCACCCACAATACCAACTGTCTCTCAACTGGTATTTCTTTTTCTAGATGCATATTATACCCTCCTTCACACAGGTATGTAGAAAAATGATGTCGTTCCTGACAAATCTGGATAAGTTTACCTAAAACAAGCAAAGGGGCTGATACATAAACATTCCTTAATGGCTTCCTATTGTCATTGGTAAAGGTCTGCCTCTTCAGACTGCTACACAAGACCTTTTGCTATCCAAACAAAGCCTGCCACTTTGGTCCTCTTGCCCCTCTCCACATTCCTTTTTCACTCTAATCAACTTCCTGCAATTCCTATGCTTCTCGTGATGCTAAGCCTTTGGATGCACTGTCCCCACTGCCCAAGATGCCCTCCTGTTCTTCTCTCTTTCAGGGTAAGGGCTGGCACATTTCCTTCAAGAAGCCTTCCCTAGCTCCTCCCCCTTCCCTAACAAGGTGCTGCTGTATCATCCAATACCTGCCTTTGAGATAAAACTGACTAGACTGTGTTTATATGGCCCCTTTTTTCCCTCTTAAATAAGTCTCCTAAATGTTCTGCCATAATAAGCTCTATTCTTCTGAATAAATAAGTGACTCAGTGAGTTGTTCAGGAATATTACATTGTTGGGGCACACAAACCCAGCCTCTAAACAATCCTGTGTGAAAAAAGCTTTGTGCACAAAGATGCACTTTGCAGCAATTGATGACCAAAAAGTCAAACAACATGAAGATAATCACGTAAAATGACTATGCCATAACTGAAATATTAAGCAGCCATTTAAAATTATAAAGAAATCATAATAACGTTGCAAAATGACTATTATAGTGGTAAGTGAACAAAAAGAAACCTTGTGTTTAGTATACAAAGATGCATGGAAATATTCAGTATGATACACTCCGTATAAAGATGCATGAAGACACACATACCAATGTGTTACAAATGGTTCATTCCATGTGGCAGCATAGAGATTCTTAAACTTTTTGTACTATATTTTCTAAGTTTCAAAAGTTTGCATGAAATGTTTTACCTATTGTAAGGAGATGTTTCTAATGAAGAACAAACAATAAATATTTTAATGAAAATTCCACTGAAATCCATTGGCCAGAACAGCTTGCAAACTAAGGCAAGTGGTAGCACTTTTCCTCCCACTAAGTATGAAGAGGAATAATGAAAACAAAAGACAAAGCCTGCAATGACAAAATACAGCTGGGCAGCCAATAAACCTGGCAGTTAGGGAATAGGGGTTTACAAAAGAAAAGAAAAATACCCCAAACCTCTTCTGATCAATCAGAACTGTTTTCAGGGTCCAAGGTAAAGTGCCAATTTATACTATCAAAGGCATGAGTGTGGGTATTTTGTAGGCTGAAAAAATTCCTGGCAGTTTCGAAACATGAACTTGTGTGGCTGCCTTGAGTGTGTCTGCGGAGGCACACTGGCACCAGGAGGGGCTGCTCTGCTAAAACTCAGCCTGGCCCCACAAAGGGCAGCTTACAACATGGATGGGCATAAAAGGACTTCAGTGAAACCTATTTTTGTCAATACCCCATCACCATTTTTACAATTTTCAGAAATGAAATACCTGGGTCATCGATTCTAAACTTCTCTTTTGAACTCTGATTATGTTACTTATTCAGTATTAGATTTTTCTCCAGTAATTTAATAAATGTACTTTCCTTAATTTCCATATGCCACTCTAGAAGTCTATATTTTTAGACTTTCTTCATTTGTATATGCCACTCTAGAAGTCTGTATTTTTAACCTGTAACTGTAATTCTATTTCATATAAATAGTGCCTTGCAGTTTAGAACTCTCGCTCACATCCATTACTCCACAGCATATTCAGTTTTCAGAGGAAACATCTGTTGGCCCAGAGACTCAGTCAAGTAGCTAGCGGCACTGCTGTGAGAATGAACAGACGCCTCTGTCTTCCGAACGGATGCACCAACACTGCATCCTAAAGAGTTTTTTCTCTTCATTTGATTTTAGATAGACCTGGACTACACATAAATAAACGTAAAGGTACAGAAACTTACTTTTGGTGCCATCAGACAAACTATGACTGAGTGCCTACTTGTGCTTGCGTATTATTAAAGCTGTTTGTTAATTCTTCCACTTTTCCTGCTACATTCTAACCTGCGGGAGCAGAGGCTTTTTGCTATTCAGCCCCGAGCCCGGACTCGCACTAAAATCACGGCACTACGGAAACATTTACTCGAGCTGCCAAAATGTAAGGAAGCCAGGAAGACGGCTGGTCCACACAGCTTGCGTACGAGCGCGTCTGAGTCCTCCCCACGCTATAGCGCCGGGAGCACCCTGGGTACCGAGTGTAAAAAGCTGGTGTCGGCCGCAGTCGGCTGCGGGAGCGTGTCATACTCGCGCGGGGAAGGTTTTTGCCCGCTCCTGCCTCAGCCCAGCAATCACACTACTAAGCTAAGCACGGGCACGTGAGTCAGGGAGTGTCACAAGGGTACCAGCCCCCGACCGCGCGCTCGAGGCGATCCTACGCTCAGCACCCGGATATTACGCCAGTCGGCGCCGTGGCGTAACTTCCGGTAGGAGTTACTTCCGATGCGGACGCAGAAGGACCGAAGTTCGGGCTTTGACTGCATTAATTCCGTGCTAGCCGCTCTCCTTGGTAGCGTTCTTGGAGAGGTCGGTCCTTCAGGGCCCGGTTCCGCCAGCGCAGACCGGACGGGACCGATGTCCCGCCGCCCCTCGGCCGGGCGCTGATGCCCGCTGTGCCCGAGAGGCCCCGCAGCGGGCCCAGGTCATGAGCCTGCTGGGCGGCCTCACCCCTTCTCCGCGGGCCGCGTCGCAGGCCGCCAAGGCCAGGATGAAAAAGCTCCCGAAGCGGAGCCAGAACGAGAAGTACCGGCTCAAGTACCTGCGGCTGCGCAAAGCCGCCAAAGCCACGGTGTTTGTGAGTTTGATGCCGCTCTGTCTTTCCCAGTCTCCACACTCCGAATTCGCGAAATCTTTCCCGAAACCGTCCCCCATCCCAGAGTGGCAGTGGTAGTGTCGTGTTAACTTTCGCAGTTTTACATCGCTTCTCGGTAGCCCTGTACCCTTGGACAGGTCACGTGTTTCTATGATTTTGTTTTTTATCTGTGAGAATTAATAACTGTCTTGCTGAGTTGTGAAGGTTAAATGAGGAAAGTGTTTGGTGTCTAGAAGATGTGCCAGTAAGTTTTAGCCATTATCGTTATAACCTCAAAACTCTTGGAAATGCGTTTGATTCTCAAGAGAACCCTGAGAACGAGGCACTATTTTTAAAATAACACAATCGCCGAGAGATGATTTGCTTAAAGGCACCGTGTCAGAGCCCTGACACCAATTTAGACCCCGCGATTCTAGTTTCTTTATTACTTTCACTAACCCAGCCTATTTCCTAGGCGCCCCATGTACCCCTTTCCTAAACAGACACATACAGGAAGCTTTCAATAATTTATCCCCTTCTAACTTCTTCTGAGTCTCCCCAGTATTTCTGCCATTTTTTCTATTGTAGAGGCACTGGGTATATTGAATGAATGAACTGGTTGGCCAGCCCCACACTTTGTGTTAACATGTTCTGACTGGCTCAAGCTTGCCTCAATGCAGGGAAATATAAAGAGTGGAGTCCCCAAAGGTCCTCCCATGTCTGAATTACCACCTCGCCCATCTTTCTACCCAAAACTTGAACATCTCTCGGCTTTTTTTGGAAGCATAAGGAAGTTTGTGAATTAGCACATTCATTCCAGAAACATTTATTTAGCACTTGCTGTGTACACTGGAGAGAAATAAGAAAAGTATAATTAAGAGGATTTGATACTTTTCTTTTATTCCCTACATGTCAAAGGTACATGAAGCTTGGAGCCTGTGCTGTTAGGAGGACCTTGGTTCCATTCACTACTACATAAAGGTTTTGTGAAGAAAAGGGCTATTGTTTTCGATTCACAGGCAGAGTTTGAGGTCCCACCTATGGAACATCTGGATTGCAGCATCACCCCAGGACTGCTGCTTGGGAGACAGGCTGAGTCGTCAGTAAAGAAAGACAGTGCTTGAATAAGTAGATGAGGAAGTCTAAGAGTTGTACATACCAGGGTTGATTTTATTCCTTCCAATTTTTCTCTGACGTTCATATTGCATGGGATGCTTCAGGTTAGGCTGATTTCATAAGCTCCCCCAAGAGTCAAGGTACTTGGAAATGCCTGGTCCTCATATTCACAAGGGTTGAATTTAAGCATCCATGGATTTAAGCAGGATGCCCTTTTCTCTGCCAAAGGTGACCCTAATTAGGATGACTACACATCTTGGTTTGCCTAGAACAGCCATAGCCCACCATATTGTTCTGGCATAATCACTAATAGTGCTCCCTTTTCACTCAGAGGTACCCCAGTTTTGGTAAATTCTGTAATTACCCTGCGTATAGTCGAACTGGACTCCACTGTTACCTGTAGGTTCTTTTGTAGTTTGCAAGGTAGCCTAGTTCTTCCTTCTTTTCTAGCAACATAGGACTTCTTTGGTTTGAAATATAACTCATCTTTCCAGCATAATATTTTGATCTTTTATTCATTCTATGTGATTATAATCAATTTTTTTTCTTAAAGGAAAATGCTGCTATTTGTGATGAAATTGCTCGTCTTGAGGAAAAATTTCTTAAAGCAAAAGAAGAAAGACGGTGAGCTGAGTTCATTTTGTGTTTAGAGTCACAGTTTTGGTGATTGATACGCCGTTACTGCTCTGGGGATTGTGCTGCAGTGGGTTTTTTGTGCACCACTCGGCCTGCTGGCCGCTGGCAGCACAGAGAAACAGCCTGTGATGTCGGCTCCCGTTTATCCTAGCTGCGTTAGATCAGTGATGAGACAGCTCTCTATTCATCTCTCTAATGAAGCCCTCTTGCCACAACTAATAAGTAATCTAAAAATGTAACTCCCCAGTTATAAAATAAACTGTCCCTCATTCTGCAAATATGTGTTCAGTATGTACTAGTCTATGCAAAGTCCAGTGGGTATGTGTGCATATGCAGTTTGTGGTGCATGCCTTTCCGAAGTCTAACACCTTCCAACCTCAAGTTACAGCCACTCTCCAGGTGCACAGAGACACACTACAATTCTTTATCCTTCGCTTCTGGAGTATTGCCCTTGGACCTTCATTATTCTTAGGGTCCAATAAGAATATTATTTTTTTAAGTGTAATAACCTTGTACATAGTTTTGACTTTTCCCAGTAGTTAAGTAAAACGTTGACTTGAGATAAAATGGAAGCTCACACCTCTGCTTTTTTTCCTTCCCAACCTCAGGTACTTGCTAAAGAAGCTTCTCCAGCTTCAGGCTCTAACTGAAGGGGAAATACAGCCTGCAGCTCCTCCCCACAGCTCCAGTTTGCCCCTGGCTTATGGTGTGGCCAGCTCTGTGGGGACTCTACAGGGAGCTGGACCCATTTCTGGGCCCAGCACTGGGGCCGAGGAGCCATTTGGGAAGAAATCCAAGAAGGAGAAAAAAGAAAAAGGCAAAGAGAACAACAAACTGGAAGGTACCTGGAGGGGATATCAGTTGTGCCGGTGGCTCAGTGCCTGTTGACAAAGACCTGATACTGACTGGTGGACACACATGGCCATGGCCATGCTTAAACTCTCAGCCAGTCCTTAAGCAGCCCTAACAGCCCTTGGAAAACAAGCGGATCAGAGCCATTTTGAGAGAAGGAATGCCAGTTAGACCTGGTTAAATGTGCAGGGAGCAAGCTAAGTCTTCCACCTTCTTCCCTATCCCCAGCTCTCTAGGCTGCCTTCAGTTCCCTCTTTCCTAGGGGCAGGGAAGTGAGCTAGGTGGCCTTTGGAACATATTGCTGGCTTGGGAAATTTCTGATGTGTGAAGTAAGAGGCCTTAAAAAGTATAAGGCTTTTGGGTCCTGAGCAGTAATATTCAAATTGGTTACTGCCAGGTGGGTGGCTTAGAAGGATACTCAGGGCTTTGGGGGGAAATCCCATGTGCCCATTCAGTGAGTGTGTAGAGCCAGGATTGGCTTATTGCTCTTAGCATTTACATGTGAATTTTCCCCTTCCCCTTAGCATTGGGAGGGGCCTAAAGTGGGTGACCCCAGATTTGCGTTTCAGTTCTGAAGAAAACATCCAAGAAAAAGAAAATGGAGGGAGGTGCTCGCAAGCTGGTTCAGCCCATTGCCCTGGATCCCTCAGGACGGCCTGTGTTCCCCATCGGACTGGGGGGTCTAACAGTATATAGCCTGGGGGAGGTGAGTGAGACCAGCGATACCTAGAGAGGAGCTTCAGAAAGGTGGGAATGGGGTTGAGCTTTCCCTCCCCGTTCCCAGTAGCAGCAGCGCTTACTGTTCCAGACCAACACCAGGAAATCTCCAGGCCTTAGGAACCAGGTCAGTTTGGTCTGCCACACAGCCTGCACACTTTCTGTGACGTGTGTCACTCTTTGTAGCACCGGAGTGGTTCCAGAGGCTACCTGTGGCACACTGGGCTTCTAGATTCTCCGGTGACTTCATTTGCAGGTTGGGGGAATCTTTTTTGTAGATCATCACCGACCGACCTGGCTTCCATGATGAGAGCGCCATCTACCCTGTGGGCTACTGCAGTACTCGAATCTATGCCAGCATGAAACACCCAGACCAGAAGTGTCTGTATACTTGTCAGATCAAGGATGGTGGTGTGCAACCTCAGGTATTTTTCTTCACAAAAATCTTATTGAACTTTATAGAAAAGTAGTCAAGGAATTTTCTAGCCAACCTTTAAGTTGGCTAGAAAGCACTTACTACAAAAATTTTCTTGGCAAAAATTTCTCAGTATAATTTTTATTGAACCGTTTATAAATAGTTAAGGTATTCTGCAATTCAAAAAGTAAAGAAAATTAACTGAAAAGGGGATTTGCCGTCAAAATGGCCCATGAGATATTGTAAGGTTAACCCAAGATTACATGGAGAATGATCTCATTGGTTTTTAGGATACCATTTGCTTTTGTATTTAGACACATAAGTAAGTGGATCGAAAGGGGTCTGGAGAGGCATGGAACCAGTTCATTGTTGACCTCTGGAGAGCAGTAAGGCCAGGAGTATAGAACTGAAAGAGTCAAAAGACTTTGTCTTCTTGGATTTATTTGAATTTTTAATGGCACTGCAGGAAACTGTACCCACCTCCTAGTGTGGTACACATCAGCTTCACGTTCCAGAGTAGAGAACAGTTATAGGACAGTGTGACTTCCTCTCTCCTACTTCTTCCTCCAAGGGTGCTCTCATGGCTCCTTTGTCTTCCTCAGTTTGAAATTGTTCCTGAAGACGACCCCCAGAATGCCATCGTTGGTTCTTCTGCAGAGGCCTGTCATGCAGAACTGCTCACGGCCGTAAGTGCTACTGCGTAAGTTGGCCAGCAGCTTGAAGACAGACAGAAAGACCACTTTGGGGACAGCTACAGTGAGACCTTTTCTCCTGCTGCACTGAGTGGAGATCTCTCACTGTATAGAATGCTCTCTTTCATCACCCGGCTATTGTAGCAACTAAAGTCTCCAGAGTGTCCAAGCCAAGGCTTGTGTGGCTGATCGTGCCCACATCCCAGCCCGAAACCCATTCTCATCTCCCTCTAAGCTCTTGAATTAAAATTCTCCCTCTCCTATTCAGGGGGAAACCAGTGTCTAATGTGCTTCCATCTGGAGCAGACTTTTTTGGGTTTTCTCATCCAACCATCCACAACCTGATCCAGAGTTGCCCCGGAGCTCGAAAATGTGTCAAGTAAGTGTGGTCGGATCCACTCCCTTGAGAGAAGCTATACAATAGCAGGCCAGGGACATAAACCGTTTTGTACACTTACTGAGCTGCTCCTGCGCATAAAGCATGCTTGCTTCTTGACCACTGTGCCTGAGTATTGCCTTAGTCCTCTGCACGGGCGAGCAGAAGCCAGTTCCCCACTGTACCATAATCGTTTTCTGTGTGTACCATGATAGCAAGAGGAAGTCCTGCAGAATAATGTGCCACTAAAGAAGCCTATCCATCTTTTTAAAGGTGTTTTTGTTGTTGTTAATGTGTTTTTAGATATATATTGGAGAGCTCTACAGAAAAAAATGGGTTGTGGCTAACAGCTTTTTTTTTTTTTTTTTAAGATTTTATTTATTTATTTTTTAGAGAGGGAAGGGAGGGAGAAAGAGAAATCAATGCGTGGTTGCTGGGGGCCATGGCCTGCAACCCAGGCATGTGCCCTGACTGGGAATCGAACCTGTGATGCTTTGGTTCGCAGCCTGCGCTCAATCCACTGAGCTATGCCAGCCAGGGTGTGGCTAACAGCTCTTGATAACGATGTCCTTTGGTCCTGCAGTTACCAGTGGGTGAAATTTGATGTGTGCAAACCTGGAGATGGGCAGCCACCCGAAGGCCTGCTGGAGAGTGAGGCAGCTATAAGCTTCGAAGCCTTTCAGAGACAGACCTTTGATGAAGATCATACTGATCCCATGCTACAAGGTATCTTTTAATGTTATCTTCTGGTTTGAAAATTGACCATATTCAGGCTGCCCTCCCCTCTTCATCCATAGCTGAGTACCCCAGATGTCTGGGCAGAGGTACAAGCTTTCACTGCTCTGATCCTGGAGAGTCCCGAGCCAAGAGAATCCACTGTCCTGTGTGGCTCTCCAGCAGTCCTCACAGAAGCCACAGGGCACGGCTGGGATCATAAAAGTAAGGCAGGGCCCACCGAGAAACTAACATTTCTCATTTTCTCCTGAAGTTGAGACCTAAGTGGGACTCCAGGAGCAAATTTGCTGTGCAGGGCTAAGATTCCAGGTGGGGTAAAGGGGATCGGGTCACAGTCTCAGTCCCGCCTGTGTCCCACGGATTCCCTACCGTAAATGCAGGGAGCAGCCAGGGTATCCGCACAGGGATCATACCGGCAGAGCTCTGAACTGGAAATGAGAAAGTGGAATTAAAACTCCCTCTCTTTGCCTGATACACTACACAACCAGGCGAGTCACTTAATCTACTTCAGGCATAGTGAAAGTAAATACCTTCATTGTAAAAGTGTCCTATCTTATGAAACAAGGGTGAAATTGAGGTGTTAGGGATTTGAAAGAACATACATGTATCTAATCGGTCTCCTGAGATTCCCAAACAACACTGGAACTTAAGGAATTTTTTCCCCAGGACCGCTGGACCTCCCGGAGCTTCAGCCTGCAGCCTTTGTGTCATCTTACCAACCCATGTTCCTGGCACACGAGCCCTTGGTTGACAATCACCTAGAGCACTTGAAGTCTCCAGTGCAGTGTAGCCCAACGCAGTCTCTAGACTGAACGAGAAGGGGTCAGATACCATTTCACCATGACAATTAAGTTAAAATTTTTTTTAACTTAATCTAAAACTTAGAATATATAGAAGGAAGCAGCAGTTCAGAAGAAATTAACACGTTTTGTTGTGGAGCTTCCCATGGTGACAGTTTTCCCTGAGAAAAACTTCACCTACTTTATTTTTAGTAATAAATTTCTCTTGACAATTCTGCTTATTTTCATCTTGTCATCAGATAGAATCTATTTTGCTTAGTTCCACCTCAGGTAAACTTAAACCCTTTGTTAACCAGAGTAAGAAATGGCTGCTGACTCAGGAAGGAGTCAGTACAGTTCTGACGACCTTTTACCCTTGATTCTGATCCTACTTCAAGGACTGTTAAGCCCCAGCCCCTGCACCCCAAGCAGCCGTTTTATTTCTGTGTCGGTATCATCGAAATCAAATCCTGCGCATCCCCAAGCTGGTGTCCAGCCCAAGGCACACTTTGCCCATTCACATTTCACATTTCTCCAAGGGGAGCAAAAGGTTCTCTTGACGCTTTCTACATCTTCTTTGTGGTTTCTTATCAGAAGTGTGCTGTTAGCTAAATACACTGAAACTGCTTGATAACACATTTAGATAGGACTGGGGGTCAGCTCCCAGCCTCCATCACAGGCTCACAGTGTCATTAGTCTTTCTATACGTTTGTAAGCTTTTACAGTGCAAAAAGGTATAATTTGGATTATGGCAAATCAAGGGTGGAAAGGGTATTACTCAAAGCTGTTAATATTTTAATATGTTTCTTTTCTCTGTGTAAGTTGCCTGAACATCATATCTGTACTTACACAGAAATGATATATGCTGCTTTTATCATATAGAAAATACTTTTCCATTCTATTACAGCTTGAGTAAATCACATATTAAAAGAAAGCTTCATTTTAAGAAAGACATTTAAAAATGTTTTAATAGGTTAGTGTGTTATTTACTCTTATTAAAGAATATTCACTTTGTAGCTTTCCTAGAATAGAAAGAACCCATTTGTCGTTCTTAAACTTAGGGAGTCAAGTACTCTTTTAAAATTAATCAGACTATATTGGAATGCATCATGTGCCAAAAGGTTAAAACTCGTATCAGATTAGTGTGTATGTATATATTTATATATCACACATGCATTCACATGTATGGGGATACATGGAATGTCAAATGTTTTTCTTATGGATCATCATGTTTAAAGACTTGAAAGACAGTGCCATAGATCTGTCATCTACTGGGTTGTTAGGGATTTCCTAAATTGGACCACATGCAGTATCGGTGAGAAGGAGATGAAAAACGGGACTGTGCCTGGGTGGGAGTAGAAACTGTTGGACTTCTGAGAGGGTGAAGCTGCAGGTCTCACAACTGTAAACATATTTATCCTTAAACCCGTTCCTGCACATTAAGAGTCCTAGGGAAATTAAGTGTGGTATGATGTTTGCAAGTAACCATTATCACAGTATTAGTTTAACAGTGAAAAAGTGGGAGAAAACCTCTTAAGTCCACTAATGGGCAATTGGTTAAAGCACGGGGCTCCCACAAAATGAAACACTCAAATCTGTTTACAGTTTAACAGGGAAATTATTTTGCTGGAATAAATGAAAAGCACAGATTACAAAGTAATACCCAATGTAGTGTGTACAGTGCAACCCAGACAAATCAAGTGACTGTTCACCAAAATACTGCTCTCCAAATGATGGATTTGGGGTGATTTTTTCCTTATATTTTTGTTAGCATCCAAATCATCTACAGTGATTATAAATATCATTTTTCAAACAGTAAAATGTTATCCGGGAAATAAGCTGAGTTCCCACAGAATGTTTTAAATTATTCAACCATTAAAAATAAATCAACTTTTATATGAGTTTTCATTAGTATGTCCACTCCCTACACCTCATTTTTCACACTGTGCGCTAGGTTATCGGGGATGAAAGGAACCCCAGCTGCTTGGTTGGTCTAGTTTAAACAGTAAAGTTTCAGTAAGCCAAGGTTAATTTACCATGGAAGAAAAACATTTGCACATAAACTCAGAGCGGCCTGAGAGCCGTGTTTGTGAAGTTGACAGCAGTGAGCAGGAATGTCCTCGGCCTTCACACGCACCACTTCCTGCACTGCCTCACCCAGAGCGACTTCCGGTCCTGCCAGCCCCGTTCTCGGTGAGTGCCCTGCACAGGTGCACCATTTTAGCTTTTATACCGTGATTTTACTGCACCTCTCGTATGTTTAGATACGTTCAGGCACACAAACACCACTGTAGACTGCCAACAGTCTTCAGTACAGTAACATGCTCTATGCAGCCCAGGTGCCACCCAGGTTCATGTGACTGCACCTGTGACATTCGCATGACAGAATCACCGAATGACGTGCTTCTCACAGTGTCCCCATCAAGCAGCGTGTGACTTTATGCTTTTATTTCTAACTTCTAATAGACAACACACAATTATGAAGTGCTGTTAACCATTTTTAATCAACCAATAAATATGATTCTTAGCACACACAAAAGCCCTCTTTTCACATTTGTCCCATGAGGGTTATTTTTCTAAATGCTCATCACATAGCTTTACTCTCAGCCTCCCTTTATTCTTCCATCCGGACTATCCTTTTTATAGTTAAAACTCTTACCTTTAAAGAGCCTGAGATTTCTATTTAACTGTAGTGGCCTGTTTGCCCATCAGTGACCTCCAGAGTCACACTCTAAGCTTGTGATCCCCCCAGACCTGCTGCTGGCAGCTGAGGTGTCTTTGTTACCACGGCCTCACCTTTTCCCTGTGTTCCTGAGGCCGGCCCTCCGCACCTCCCCTGGTGCATACTCATGGTTCTGCCTTGCTAGCTCTCGGCGTTCACCCTGCCGCTACTCAGACCGAAAGAGCAGAACTGCTTTTGGTGTGGAGTGCAACATGGAACACTTCCTCCCCCCACACCCGGAATTGTGGAAACGAGGCTGGAAGGACCCGCAAGGCCTTGTGGTCCAGCCAGCTGTTTCACCCCGATGAGGAGGAAGTGAATGACACTGAGGTTCTATCTGTGGTCTGGCATGAGTCCAGTATGGACACCAGCCTAACCAAAGCAGTGGTTCCCATCCTTTTTGGCACCAGGGACCAGTTTCGTGGAAGACAATTTTTCCACGGGAGGGGGGTGGTTTTGAGATGGTTCAAGCGCATGACATTTAAGCTCCCCTCCTGCTGTGTGGCCCAGTTCCTAACAGGCCAGGACTGGCACTAGACCGTGGCCTGGAGGTTGGGAACCCTTGAACTAGAGGACAAAAGGCAGGCATTTCATTACCAGCCCTGGCTCATCTCAAAATATAGAAACAGCCACGTGCTCGCTGGGAACTGTCCAAGTTTCTGTTAATTTCCTTTAAAAGCAAGTGCTGTCCTCATTTAAACTAAATGCCCATTTCTAAGGAACCCATGCTTCTGTCTGTGGTCATATAGCATCATTTAGCAACTCTGCTGTGAGATCTAGGCATCTGGTCTGCCATGAAAGCAATAAAGGGAGGAGCTGGCAAGGTGCTGCTGGGGTGGTAGAGGGGACACAGCTTATATTCACAAGGCCATGCAGTCCAGGCATAGCGGACAGCAACCACAGCACCGGAACACAAACTGGTATTCAGGGCCAGCGTCCAGGTGGAGAAAGTGTTCATGGGAGCTGGAAGCCATGTGCACTGCTGGTCACCACAACATGAGACCTGGTGAGAGAGCAGTAAAAAGGGCGGGTCAGGTCCAGCCGAAGTGTTCCTGGAGGCTGGGAACTGCCCTTTCAGACAAAGAGCTACTTTCAGCCAAGAACCCACTTCCTCTGGTGACCAGAGCAAACCTGAGTCTGGGTCTGGTGAACACGGCCACAAGCTGACGAAAATGGTCATGTGATGAGCAAGTGACTTAAATCACTAAAGCATGAATTACCGAGGGAGGAAGGAAGCACAATCACAACCAGCATGTGGGGAGGGTTCCCCAAGTACCCTCACTGTCACCCTCCCGACAGAGGGCCACGCAGGAGTCGAGTGAGCCAAGCACTCCTGCTGGTGCTCCCCTCGGGCCCTCCCCCGGAGCTGAGGAATGAAGCGGGGGCACAGAGACACGGGATGCCAGGCTTTCCTGCAGGCAGAAAGCACTCCAGGGAGGGGAACCGGAATGATCCAGTACCCAAAGGTTGAGTGCTGACCCGACCACAACTGTGTTTCTGGGTCCAGGAGATGGACAGACTGCCAGCAATGGACGGAAATGGAGAACATAGAACTCAGAATCTACCTAAAACCCGGTGTCCAGAGTCTAAGGCGTAGCGCTGACCAAGCACCTGAGGCAAGTGGATACTGAAGTCAGGACTGCAGAGCAGAAGCTGCCCCAGATCAACTGTGTCACTAAAGTGTGTTTCCAACATTCTCTCACCTCCTCCAGGGCCCTCTTTTCGCACCCCGCCAATCCCAGCCTAATGGTGTCTTGGTTCCCAGGCACTCACACAAACATTCCGTCTAGGAATGCCCCCACCCCACCCCCAGCGATGAAAGGCCCTTCAAGGAACCTCTTTAGTCAACAGCCCCAGCTCCACAGTGGGGTGATCGTTGCTAGGTGTTAGAAGAAGGTCGTTTCACTATATAAATTCACACTAAGCTACAAATCACCAAGCTTATGCCTCTTAAAAGAGACACCAACTCAAAAGAGTTTCAGATTTAGGATAAAAGGCATCCAAGGATGAGGAAAATATTCTGGAACAAGGGTCCTTTCAATGCAACCTACGAATACAGTGGCAGCCTTGCCCAGAGCAAAGATGGTTGCTCTGGGAGGGAAAACACGAAAGGTATACTATTTTAATTTGGACGCCTCTCCCCTTCCTTGATTGTCCCATCGAAACTGCCTCTAAGTCAGTGATTTTCAGCTGGTGTGCCTGCCGCAAGAATGTTTAAAACATACACCTGACTATTTAGTCAGGGGCATGGACTCTTCCCTTAGACTGTCTAGGAAAAATATGTCGACAGCCAGCACAGTTCCAGCTGTCCAGTGTGAATGAACCAAAATTACACCTACTTTTTTGTCAGACTGGCAAAAACACTCTTCTCCGGTGTGCTGCAGGATTCTGGTAATTTGTGTGTGCCGTGAGACGAAAGAGGATGGAAACCGCTGCTCTGAGCAAATGAATGAGTAGCAGCTCACCTGCCCCTCCGAGACAAGCCCTGCCGCACAGTCATTCAAGTCAGAGACGGGCCTCACTGTGGAGGGGACCCTGCGGCCCCAGACAGGAGGGGCCCCCGTTGTTTCTGCCAGCCTCACCTCAAATATCCTGTCATCCTTCTTCTGCACTAGGATTCGCTGGGAATACGTGAGGTTAAGCAGCCCCTCGTCTGCCAGGAGCTCCATCTTCTCAGGCAGCGGCCCCTGAAAGGTCAGCTGCTTCTCACCGTAGGCCACAGCGCGGGCCCCCAGGTGCAGCCGGTAGGCCACGGTCTGTTTATCTCGAGGGTGGATGCTACGGGGTAAACACGGAGAGAACTTTGGGTTTGAGCTCAGTAATGACTACATTTAAAAAAAAAAAAGAATAGGGTAGTGATTGTGAGGGTGAGGGGGAATAAGGGGGATAAATACATGTTAACGGGAAAATACAATAAAAATAAATAACTACAAATAGACATAAACAAGAAATAATATACAAAGCACCCTTTAAGAAGGTGAGAATAGAGCTGACTCAATCAAATAGCCAGTGACGAGTGGCTGCTACTCAGCTTGAAAGACCCGGTGAGTGGCAGGCAGAGGTGCGCTCCGGGCCTCCTGCGGGTTGGGAACCTTGAAATAACAGGAGGAAACAAAGGGAGGCAGGGAGGATGCTGGAACTGACCTAGGCGAGCTAACTCAACAGACTATTCCAACTAACATATCCTGTGTTTCCCCCTGCATCGGCTGTTTATTGCTTGGTCCCCTCCAGGTTTTATTGGTTCAATAAATATTTATTCTTTCAAAAATAAGTGAATTATTAGTTCAAGCTCCTACTAGTGCCCAGACACTGTATTGGGCTGCTGCTTTGGAACCCCCTCGTGTCCGACAGCATGTGGCAGTCGTGGGCAGTCACACACCAGTATACCACTGCTCCTCCTCTGAGCCCACGGCAGAACCACGGTTCCACCCCCTGCAGCCGGGCGTGGCCACAGGGCTGCTTTGGCTCCAGCAGAGTGGGCAGAAGTGACTGGTGCTGTTCCGGGGAGAGCCCTTCATCACCAGTGTGGCGCTTTAAGGTGACTGGAAGTACAGGTCAGTGTGGTGCCTGTTTCCCTGGATCTGCGAGTGACTGGGGGAGAGCCTCTCGGTTGACCTTGGGATGTGTAGTGTGAACAAGAAAAAATTTCTGTTGCATTGAAGCCCTGGGATGTTGAGGGTTCCTTTTTATTACTGCAGCACACCCCAGTGTAAGTGATTACAAACAATGCTTCTATGGTCCGATCCTCGGGCCATCTACTCTCTCCCCTCACAAGTGAACGAACGTCCCAGTGAAGATCACAAAGAACACACTATTCAAGCAAAGCCCAAGAAGCACCCATACCTGCCGAAAGGCGAGGTCCTGTCACCAAGATCCATCGCTACAGCCATGAAAGTGTTGGGCATCCTCAGGTTGGGGACATAGCCAGCGTCTGCCGTTTGATGCCAGCGGATCTGGGAAAATCCGTCATCCGAGGCTGCACCAGACAAAACGGACGACAACTAAAAAACAGAGAGATTATTGCATCAGAATTTTATTGCATCAGAACCCTGCACTAGAATCTTTTTCACCAGCAAACCCTGGTTATGCTTCCCTGGTTTGTCCAAATGTTCATTCAACAAGTCTTTGCTGAGCTCCACACCGCAGTGGCAGAATCCCTCTTGTCCCACCTGCCACAGGGTAGCTCTGCCACCCCTCTCATCACGAGGGGGACTCTGGGTCTCCTCCCATGGAATCTAGGCTACGTTTGTGACATTCTCTGACCAATAGAAAGCTCATAAGTGTGTGTAGCTTCCATGCCTTTGCCTCAAGCGCCCTGCCTCCTGATTTCATCTTCCTAGAACCCTGAGATGGCTGGGTTAAGAAAACAAGTCCAGCTACCCTGATGGAGGAATGACACAGATAGAGGAGCCCTGGAAACTGGAAGATCGTGAAGGAGATAGGCATCGATGTCCCAGCAATCCCAGCAGAGGGGCCGGTCATGTGAATTCTAGAGCCTTCGATTCCAGCTGCAGCCACACAAGCAAGCCCACTGGTAGCACCAAGAGCAGACTGAGCCATCCCAGTTGGGACCACCTGGCCAGTCCATGGACTCATGAGCACAAACAATGGCTGATGTTTTAAGACACCAAGTGTTGGGGTAGTTTCTTACAAAGTAATAAGTAATGGACACACCTGTGTACAACACAGGGCTGGGCACTGTTTTGATGGGGGAACTCAAGAGTTGGAAAAATTTTAGTTTTAAGTTACAGTTGTTAATAAGCTTATTAACTATATACAATAATTAATGCATATAAAAAGCTATCATTTCAGGAACTGAATGGACACCCACCCTGACTCTAGGAGACCACAGGCAAGTCAACCTTTGTGCCCCTAGAGGACTGCCAGCCATCGTGCGTGCTCCAGGGAAGAGACGCCCTGCCACTCAGGACACAAAGTCACTGCCAACAGAGGAAAGGATGCTAGGGAAATTGCTGGACCACAACTTTTATTTGATTAACCTTTTCCCTGAACTCCACTGACCATCAGAACAAAGTGCCATAAAGATTCAATCCTTGTCTCTACTTGTTGGTTCTGATAGTGACAGGCAGCATGAGTGTTGACTTTCCCGGTTTCAGTGTAGGAAAGCAAAGAGGCATCTGTCCTGGAGTGTGTGTGCAAATTGCATCAAAGATCCCAATTCTTTGCACGTTCCTATATCCACACCATCTTGTCATGTGACTTTATGGTTCCTCCTATGAAGAGAAAAAGTATATTTACCTCCCCACCCCTCGATTCTGAGCTCAGCCATGTGGACTGCTTTGGCCAATCGGTGAAACAGAGAGTTACAGTGGGTCAATTCCTAGACTAGGTCTCACTCTTTCGCATTTCTGCTGTCACCATGAGAATGACATGCCCAGGTTGGCCCACTACTCTTGAGAAAAGGATGAAAGCTGCGGAACAGAGCCGCCTCCTCTAGCGCAGTTCAGCCCAGCCTGGACTGCACGGAGCTCCCCGGCTGACCCACAGAGATCTGTAACTGCCCCAGGGAGCTCAGCCAAGAGCGACCAACCCCCAGCTGCCCAGGCACGGGAGCTAAAATAATAACTGTTCTTTTAAGTCATGGAGTTTTGCGGTGATTTGTTACCTAGCAGTAGCTAACTAGTACAAGTACTTCATAGCTTTGCTGGGGGGACAGACCTGCACATGAAAAACATTAATAAAAACTCTATACAATAGTATGGGTTAAATGCTGCATTGGTGGCACAGACAGCAAGTGCTCTACATTTAGAACAACGTTTATTATTACAAGAAAACATAACCTCAGAATATGTTTAAAAAATGAGTGGGTACAGAAAATATGAGAGGCCGCTGCAAACAGGACTGCTCGTATGTCCCATGTTAGAACCTTATGAGATGCAAAGGTAAAGGATAAAGGGAGTTTTGAGAGAAAGAGAGCAATCCAACTGGAGTAGAGAATTTACGTAGGAAAGACAAGGCTGGAAAGACAGTTGGGGAAGTGTTTGGACAGAGCTTACACTTTGTAAGTGACAGGGAACCACTGGAGAGACGGTCACAAAACACTGTGAATGTACTACATGCCACGGAACTGGACACTTTAAAATGCTTATGTGAGAATTTTGCCTCAACTTAAAAATTAGAGACACTGAAATTATTAACATGATAAATAGACTATTTCAAAAGATTCATCCAAGAAAAGAAAGAGACCCATTAGTTCAGAAGGTACTGTAATATTCTAGACACAGAAGAGACAGGGCTAGTCTAGAACGATAATAGTGGGAAGGGCATGGCTAGAAATAAGGCAATCTAAAAGACAAATGGACAGAACCAGGCATCCAGTTGAATGTGGGGGCATGAGAGAAAGGGTGATACCCAACATGCAGAATCTGTAATATCCAAATTGTCTGCTTGGGGTTCTGCAGATGTAAGTACGGTCCCTCATGACAGTTGCCTTCAAAATAACCGAAAGCTAGAGTATTATGGTGAAGTCAACCCAGTCGTCAGAGACTTTCTCCTGCTAGCCTTTAAGAAGTAAGCTGCCACAACTTCTACAGCTTCAAGGAAATGAATTCTGCCGGCAGCCACATGAGCCTGGGAGGGAATCCTAGGCTTCAGATGAGACCCCGGCTCCATCCAACACCTTCACTGCAGCCCTGAGCAGAGGACTCAGCTGAGCTACACCTACCCAGACTCCTCAGCCACAGAGACTGTGATAGATCACAGCATGGCCTTGGTTTACGCTGCTAAATACGCAGTTATTTGTTGAGTAGTGACAGAAAACTAATATACTGGGAAATCACTTTCCAGGCAGAAGGGGAAAAGTATGGTGGGCCCTGAGGTGGGAGTACACCCGGTGTGACTGAAGAAAGCACGACAGCCATTGTGGCTAGAAAATCAGGAGATGAGGTCAGAGGGTAGTGGACACAGGGGCAGACCGTGTGTGGCTGGGACAGGGGGACCAATGGAGCCTTCTCATACAACCTATGTGTCAAAGCACTGCTTTAACTGACATACTGAGAATATCCTAAAGGGGGAGAAAAGGAAGCAGTAGCAGCAGAAAGGATATGGCATGAAGGGTACGTGGATGGAAAAGGGGCCACACACTAACCCTGACAAGCTCAGGAGTGGCCCGCATGGCGGGTCATACAAACTCAGACACAGAAGGTGAACGCATAGGAGGTCTGAACATAATAATGGAAAGCGAGTCACAGTGGCTAGTGACATCCAAGGCCTGCAGATTCCTTGACAAAGGTCAGTCTTTACCTGAATGAGCCTATCCACCGTCCTTTTGCATCTACAATAACAGACCTGTGGAAGGTTAGAGTAATCCCCTTTTCCAGACCTCTCAGGGCACAACCTCTGCACCAGAGCACGAGACCCCAGAATCCCTCACTGCTCTCTTGTTCCCCCCGTGCCATCTCTGTGTGCTGTAAATATTAGTTATTAACTGTCCTGTACCCGCCAATGTAAGAAGTATGTGTCTTTCCATTTTACTTTTTATGCAATCTTAGAGGTTTCCCCGCTTTGCTTTCTCCCACCTCTTTAATCTAACACCAAGGGATTCCATGTAACCCCCTCACATCTCCTGCTTTGATTGTATAAAATAACCTGCAAAACGGCCTTTCTCTGCAGCAGATCTCAATCTGTTGAGATTTGCTTCCCAGCAATTGTCTTCAGTTGGGCTGCAGGTTTGAATGTTTCTCACATTGACAGGTATGATATGGAATGTAGAGGACATTTCCAATTCTCTTAGTAAAATCTCTTATGCCAACTGGCTTTAATCTGTATGATAAGAGGTGCTGACGTTTCACAACGGAATCTCATGAAAACCAGAAGATGAAATAGATAAGTGAGTTATCCCACTTCTTCCCCCACAACGCCAAGAAGACTGAAAGTGGAACCCTGCCCATGGTTCCCAGTCAACGCCATGATGGGGAGCACAGTAACAAGCTACCAGAAAGATCTAGAATGAAGCACAACAGGGAGAAATGCTAACAACAGTCACTCACGCCAAGGAAGTTTTCTCAAAATGGCAGTCTTGCTGAGAAGTCCTGCCCGGTTCACTCCATTTCATTGACTGCACTAGCGCACACTGGCCACATGGGGGCACCAGCAAACTAAACTCCACAACTACATGGTTTTTCCTAGTGGGAGATATAGTTCAGTCTCCCATGGTGATTAGTAGAAATACTGCTGCTTACTAAGGCAAATAGCCAAGAATATAAAGGCGGCCACATTCACAGGACTTTACAAATAATATACTATAGTCTGCAGTCTCTTCCACTGGTCCCCTAAACCCCTTTTAAGAAAGCACAGTCCCAAGGACTCCAGCCCCTAGCCTCCTGCTCCCTTCCCCTCCCTGCTTCAGGTCGCCTCCCTATGAATGACTCTCTGACACAGGTGTCTGGCCCTGGCCTGCCCACTGAGCTTGATCCTTCATCTCTCGTCGCTCCAGCTGCTGCAACCACCAGGTCAAACCCACAACCTCATCCTTCCCTACAGACCAACTATCCTCCAGATGTTCTGCCTTCTCTCACTGATAAAAACAAACACTAACATTGTCTGTCATGTGCCAGGCTTTCCATGAATTGACTCACTTGATACCTAATAACAAAGAAGTCTGAGGTCTTGTTTGAAATCACACAGCTGAAGAAGTGCCAGAGCCAGGACTTGAACCAGGCAGCCTGGCTTCAGACCCACGCTCTGGATGCCTGTATGGTCAAGTCTGACATTTCCCTTGGGAGGCAGATGTCCACAGTATCAGTCTCCCACAAGCAATCCACATATTTTCGCTGATGATGTAAAGCGAAAGCCCAGAGGCTAAGGGGCTTCTGCTAAACCGTCAGGCCTAAGGGCAAGGCCAAGGTCTCTGGGCTGCATGCTGTTTCTAGCCCTCACTCAGTTCCTAGCACATCATACGCATTCAATACAAACTTTTGGTTTGAAGTGGCTGAAGTCACATTTAAATCACCACATACACAGGCTAAGAGACAAAAAAAAAGTCCCTCAAATCTAAATGTAGTTCCCACCAACAGTAACACAGAGCTGGTGACAGGAGTTGCTATTTTGATAATAATGAGCAGAATAATCTTGTTTCAAAGTCAAAATAAATGTAAGAAAAATGATTTTAAAGTAATTATAAGTGCAAGGAGTATCTATAAAAATCTTTATCCAAAAAAAGTACAGTGAAGTAGGACAAGGTAGAGGAGACGGGCGGATGGTGGGAAGGAGGGACCCGTGGACGTTCAGAGGCAGCTGCCCGGACGTGTTATGTCCGATTCAAACACTGAAGCCCGTCCCATCACTATGTTGTGAGTCGGGCTTTGTTTTCAAAGCACCTTACCTGTTTAATTTCCTAAGTTCCAGCAGAGTCAGAACCGCCACCCTACTAAAAAGTCTAGGTCTTAGAAACAGGTGGGGCAAGGCAACTATGAATTTCGCTAAACATGTGATTCCTTTCGGACAAGGCTGAGAGCACAATCTTTTTGACCGGTTGCCACTAATGAGAAGTACATTTTCTCTTGAGGCACATTTTATTCATGTGTTAGGCCACATTTAACAAGTGTCAACCAATTAGATACTGGGGACACACACGTGACCCAGGAAAATACGGCCATGCGAGCAATCTACATGCGAGGAGAAAGGGAAGTGGAAGGTGCTACAGAATCACCCATCAGGGGAAAGCGGGTACCTAACCCAGACTGTGCATGGTCCCAGAAGGCTTCCTAGCTTATACCCAGGCTGAGGTCTATAGGATAATTGAAAGTGAGCTAGGAAAGCACGGGAGAGAGAGGTTACTTCAGGCACAGGGCACATGGAATGGGCGGGCAGTGAGAAAACGGGGTTTGTTCTAAGGAGTGGTGGGGTGACACCACGCTGGGGAGGGTGTGGGGAAGTGCGCATTCTCACACGCTGTTGCTGAGGGTATGAATTTACACAAATTCACAGACTTTGACAGAGAAATGTGGGAATGTGTTTAAAGCCTTAAAAAGTATTTCATTTAACCCAGCAATTTCATTTCTGGGAATTTCTCTTATGGAAATAATCAAGCATGTATGCAATGATTTAGCTACAAGGAATATTAAATATGCCGCTACTTACAAAGCAAAATGTTTAAAGCAACAACTTAGGTGCCCATCAACTGAGGACTAGTTAAATAAATTATAACATAACCATATTTCAGAATACTCTATAATCATTATAATTATGCCTAAGGTTAATATTGGTTGGCGTGAAAAAATATTCACAATACGACACTGTGAGAAAGAAAAGCAAGACACGGTACAGTATTATGGTGTGAATCCTACTTCAAGAATGAGCAGAAAAATCTGCTTATTTACGGATTGTGGAATTACAAATGTTTTTAGCTTATCTTTTTAATGTCTCTTTAACGAACATGGAACATTTTTTTCCTTTTTAATTGTTAACACTACTCCAGACGTCCCCATTCTCCCCCACTCTGCCTGCCACCACCCAGCCCCCACTGCCCCCCTCCCTCCAGCCACGCCATGCTGTTGTCCGAGTCTCTGGGCCACACACGCGTGTGCTTTCGCTAATCCCTCCACCTTCTCTGTAATGCTTTTTTAATAGGAAGAAGTATTAGTTATTAACTTTTTCAAAAGATTTCATTGTCCCATCAGTGAACAGAGATGAATTAAGTCTTATATTCAGTTCCTGACCAGTGGCTAGGAGGGTGAAAAAGGAAGGAACACGGGGTCCAGGAAAGAGATCTCAACAGCACGTCCCCACAGAGAGGCCCATGCCCTCTTCCCCCCAACCCAACATGAACCTGAACAAATCCGAACGGGAAGAGATGCTCCGTCTGCCCCTGAGAGCCACGGTGGAAGGTCTGGCGCCAGTCTGCGATGAGCGCGGGGAACGTGCAGTTGTACAGGTCTCTGTGAAAGTTCACATTGGCCTCCCCTGAAAACAGACCGAGTTGTCAGAGGAGTTGGGGGGTCCATGCAAAAATGGCTGCACATTACCCTCAACTTCCACCATGTCTTTAGGAAGGGGGCCTTCCTGCAGACTCTCTGGCCTGGCCTGTGACTTGTTTGGCCCACAGGGCAGCGGCAAACATGATGCAAGCAGAGACTTGCAGAGTGCTTCAGCTTAGGGGTCTCCTCTCTCCAGACACACCCGGAACCCTGAGACTGCTATGTAAACAAAAAGTCAGTCTGAGCCAGCCAGCTGCAGGCAGGGGCCACACGAGAATCACGGGCCCCGTGGAGAGAGCTCCTAGTCCTCACACATGAGGGGGAGACCATTCTAAGTCACCCAGCCGTCGGACAACCTGCCAGGTGGCCAGAAACACGTAACAGATTTTAGCACAAATCGGCTGCAGCAACTCAGACACAAAAACTACCCTGCTAGCCCACAGAATAGTGGGCTTACAACAAAATTATTTTTGTTTTAAGGCACTAAATTCTGGGGTGGTGTGGCATACAGCACGGCTAACTGACACAGTGAAGAAAGAGTGCACGGAACGAACACTCACCCTGGTACCATATCACGCCTTTCAGAGTTACACTGCACAGGGGGTGGACCATGGCGTTCCAGAGAACCGAGTGCTCGCTGGGGCCAGTCACGGAGTCGGGTGGGACGAACCTGAAATCAGTACGATGCACAAGTGTCGCAAGAGAAATAGTAATTGGCCACATCAGATCCTGAAGCTGGGCATCTATCCAGCTTTCCCTTGGGGTGAACTTCCGATGAGAGCAACACAGAATTAACATGAACCACTCTGTTTCACAGGTGAACATGAGAACAGTCTCTGAATTTCACCCCCAGGTTCTTCTCAGGATAAATGTATCAGCCAGTTTTCTATGAGTTCAGAGTGGGCCATCCCAGCTTCCAGATGAGGTCATTAAAACCACAGAGAGAAGTGTTTTATTATGAGTTTCTCACATGGGCAATACATTTATTTAATTCACACTCAATGGATAGACACTTAGATTATTGTAAGCTGTTGGCTTTTATAAGCAATGCCATGACTGTCTTTCTTGTAGCATGATCATTACATACAGACTTAAGTATTTTCTTGAGATAAATTCCCAGAAATGAAATTACTGGGTCAAAAGGCATATTTTTAAGATTTGCAACAAGCTCCTAAATCTCCCTGTAGAATACTTGTGTGAACTCATACTCGCAGCCGCTGTACGTGAGAATGCCCACTTCCCTACACCCTTGGAATTGTCCCTTCCAAGCGCGCTGGAGGCCTGCCTTCGGATTCCTCCTACTTTCCCACAGGCGACTCTTTCTGCTCCAAAACTAAATGTGCTCACACAGGCACGCCTTTGCCCAGGCCACACCAAGAGCGCAAGTCCACCCTCTGCCAGAGGCCCTCCCAGAACTGAAGGGACAATGTCTGCGAAAGCAGTCCACGTGTTGCTCACCTCCAGCTTTCAAGGAGTGTCCAGGCTGCCTCCACGAGCCCGTTCTCCAACCCCCACCCCACCACCCAGCATTCTTCCCAGTCCGTCTCTTCCTGAGTGAGCTCTCACAACCAGTGTGCCACACACGTTCGGTTACACGTCCATCTGTTCTCCCCGTCAAACTGCACATTCTTACAGATAATACAGTTGGTGCTTCAGAGCACAGACACCGAAGCCACACTGCACCGCTCACTCGGCGTCCGTGAGCAAGCCACTAAAGCACTCTGGGACGTAGTACCTTTACCTACAGTAAGTTAACAGTGTCCACATTGCAAGAGGTTGTTGTGAGTATTAAGCGAGTTACTATATATAAACTGCTTATAACATCTTCCAGCATAAAGCTTTTGGCAGCATTAGCTGTAAGTATTATTAAGAAAAAGAATCACAATTGCTTCTTGTCATATTCTCAGGTGCCTGTGGTGGTGACGACAGTGGAAATAACAGCTCACCTAGCACGGAGTAAGTTGATACGTATTGGGACATTCAACACACGCCTGACTCCCCAGAGGAGCCCATGGGCCTTCTCTCTTGGATGACCTCCCGGCAGGCTTGCTCCTGGACTGGAGGGTGCTTTCTTACCCTTGCTTAGGAACCCCGCAGGCTTTCAGGGACCTTCCAGATGACCAGGCTTCAATGGGGGTCCCACCCCACGAGGAGGAGATCAGCCCAATGGGGTACTGCAGAGTGTCGTGCAGGTAACGCCCGAAGAGCCAGCACACGGCTGACATGTACTCGAAATTTCCATGGCCTAAGTTTTCTGTTCAGAGAAACAGTTAAAGAAAAATAGTTACGGAAGAGCAGACAGCTGCAAACTGCAGGTGCAGATGGGTCAAGGTGACAGGAGCGGGTACGGGTCACCCTTGCATTCCTTGCTAAGAATTTCTGAAAGCGGGATAAGACTGAGAGGCAACTGTCCCCTCAGCAGAGAGCGAAGCTCCCGCGCTCTTCCTCAGACCCCCCGCCAGCTGCTCCCCTAACACTTCCGAGCTCCTGAGAACCCGGAGCACGAGTCCCACTCAGCAGGTGAGGGACAGAAAGGCCATTGGCCCCTATACTGCCCTCACCTCACCTCTGCCTTTACCTCCGCATTCTTCCCCAGGTTGCTCTGCAGAAGGGAATAAGCAAGCTGGGAACACGTCGAGAAAAAAATTTTTTCTGGGTAATGTTATACCTGGCTTCATAGCTGTGGTGATGAAAATGTGGACAAATCAGTAATGGGAGGTTTGGATAAAAGGGAAAGCAACAAGAGCCATCTGTCCACACAGCCCAGTCACCACACACACCGAAGTGGGCACTTCCCTGTCAGAAGAAAGCGGAAGAAGAGGGGAACACGCACACACACACCCAACGGACGGGAACATTCAACCTAACGTCTACTAAAGAACTACTCTGTGCACGTCGCTGGCTTGGCACTATCAAAGATGCAAATTCAATATACCAGTAGTTCTGGCACTCAAAAAGTTGACAATGTTATAGAGGGAATTCAATCAATTTGAAATCAATTAAAATTGATTGATAGTAGGTGCCAGGCACTTCTAGTAGGTGGTAGGACAGTAAATAAAAAGAAAAGGAGAAACATGCAACCTCTCCCCATAGGTCTTATATTCTACAAAATAAGGCATCTATTCAGCTGAATAAAATATATGGCAAAATACAATTAAGTCCCTCAAGAGGCACTAACATATATTAGGGGAGTTAACAGCAAAAGAACGAATATAAAATGAAAGGCAGAACATAAAAAGCCCAATAAAGACTGACCTCCTCCCGGTGCCTCCATCGTATCCACTACATACCATTTCCCTTCCCCCACTAAACTATTAGTTTCGTCCACCCTACTCAGTGTCTGGACCTCACGGAGAGTCAGCAGATGTTTGCTGGCTGGGGCCGGGTGGCTGTGGGTGGCTGGTATGAAGCTGGAGATGCGCAGGGAGAGAGAAATGGCAACTAAGAGGGACAGCGAGAGAAGTCGGGGAGCCTTGGAGGCCAGATGGAAGTTTAATAAGCAGAGCTGGCATTCAAGGCAGAGAAAAGCAATAGATAAAAAGGCACATAAAATAGGATACAAATGTGAAAGTGCTTGACTGGAGCACATGTTAGTTACAAAAGGGAGAGAAGGTTGGAGGGGAGGCTGAAGTCGAACCCAGGGGTAAAGAAGGGGAAAGCCGCTTGGAAATGCGTAAGAATGAGACTGCGTGTAGGCAGAGCAGCCCCTGAAGATGCCCCCACCGAATGCCTGTACCCTGTGAACACGGTCCCTCACGTGGCTAAAGGGACTTTGTACATGTGACTGGGGTTAGGGACCCTGCGAAGGGAGATAATCCTGAATTATCCAGGGGGGACCAATCTAACCACAGAGCCCTTGAAGTCAGGAAACCCCCCCCAGTTGCAGGCGGAGGGATGACAACGGGGAGGCGGGACCGACTGGCAACGTGAGACAGACCAGCCCACCGCGCTCCTCCTCAGACAGCCGCACTCTTTCAGGTGGCGCTTATTACTGAAGCGTCATCTTTCTCCCACGGCCATTCACACTGGGAACCACTACCCACCCTCACCCCAAGAGTCCCTACTACTCCCTTTCCCTGATGCATTTTACTTATTTTGTCTCATTGGCACGCATCGCCATCCAACCTCTCCCTTGATGCCCCCAGATGTATTTGGTTTCCAAGTTCAGAGAATGAAAGGGAGGTGAAAGCAAAGTACAAACACACCATCCAAGTCGGAGTGATTCCAGAGGTTTGGATAGCATGTGGCGAATGCTCATAGACCAAAAGATTCACCCAAGAAGTTACCAAAATAAATTTAGTTCCTAAGTTCTTTTTTTTTTAAAGATTTATTCATTTTTAGAGAGACAGAGAGGGAGAAAGAGAGGGAGAGAAACATCAATGTGTTTGCCTCTTGCACACCCCCTACTGGGGACCCAGCGTGCAATCCAGGCAGGTGCCCTGACTGGAAATTGAACTGGCGACCCTTTGATTCACAGGCCAGCACTCAATCCGCTGAGCCACATCAGCCAGGGCAGTTCCTAACTTCTTGAAGGGAGAGTTCAGATAATGTGACACTGAATAATATCAGATACTTCCTACAAAACTTACTAATTTTATGGTCCCACTGCTCTAGAAGGCAAGCTCCATGAGATCAGATGTCCTTGCTTGTTTTACTCACTGCTGTACCCCCAGAACTGAGACCAGTGCTAGCACATAGTGGGCACTCAAGTATTTGCTGAATTTCTTTATACTTGAAAATGCAGGAGCAATTGAGGTTACCAAAGTAAAGCACAGACAGACAAAATAGAAACGCGACTAGAGAGAGCGCAAGGGGCCACAGCTGGAGGAAGGAACTGACGAAGGCAAAGACACAGGCAGGGAAGACAGAGGAGAAGAGCAGAGAAAGGAAGAACCACGCAAGCTGACAGCAGCGTGCGGTTCCTAAAAAGGGGGGTCAGCTGTGTTGCATGCTGTCGAGGTCCCCAGAATGTAGTTAGATGAACAGCAGTCACGTCGAGGCGAAGACATTGTGGAGATGGGAGCAGAAGACACATTATAAAGGGTTAAAGAGGGAACACATGGAAAGGCAGTGAAAAGAATGAAAAAAAAAAGGTGTTCTAGAAAGGTTTAACAAAGCAGAGGGGAGAAATAAGGAGCGTGTGAAAGATGTTTGTTATGTCCAACTTTGCTTTATTTGTTATAATAAAAGAAAAGCTAAGGTCTGAGGACAGGGACTGTGTCTGTCTTGCTCATGGCTGTCCCCTTGGGGCCTAGCACAGAGCCACACAGAGCAGGCGGGAAATAAAGATTTTCTGCTGAATGGGCTGTGGGGTGGAAGAACAGAGCTATGGGGGCAAGAAGAACCTGGAAGAAGTAAGAGCCCGCATCAGAGGCAGCCGTGAGAGGGCACCGGCCAGGGTATTCAGACAGGGAGACACAGGAGGGAAGGGGAGAGGAGAGCCTTGAGGCGCTGAAGAGAGATGCTGGCCGAGGTCATGCCGATGGCCTCCATGTATCTGGGAAGCTGAGGGTAGAGGCATCTGCGCGTGGCAAGGAAGCAGACTCACCAGCGGAGTCTTGGGAATAAACTTAGGGAGTGGCTACCATCAGGAACGGGGTGGAGAATCGGAAATGAAAAAAGGATGGTTGAATCATAATAAATTAGTAAAAAAAAAAAAAACCTCAGGACTACAGATCCCACCTGGGTCGCTGACCCCTTCTAGAGGAGACGGCACGTGCCCCAGCACGCACTCACCTGCGGTGGGCTTCGACCACTCCAGGTCGACCGCAGCAAGATCCTCCAGCTCCTGCTCTGCCTGAGCCAGAGACACCGAGAGGATGCGGACGGACTGATAGGCGGCCGTGTCGGACAGCTCGCTGGTAGCGTTAAATATCTAGGACAGAAAGAGGGGTGTCATTTCTTTCACCACCCTGTTCAGCAGGGGGTCAACTGTCTGACTGCCTCTTAAACACTACAAACTGTGGACGGAAAAGGGGTCACAGCTAAGCCTGACAAGCTCAGGGAAGGCCCCCTGGGGCGGGGGGGCACCTACAAACTCAGAGGCAAAAAGTAACCACATAGGATGGCCTGAACATAAACATTCCTAACTAAAAGCAAGACACAACGGATAGTCCAGTCCCAGGCCTGTAGCTTTTTTGACAAAGGTCAATCCTGACCTTAACTGAGCCTGTCTGTTGTCTTTTTGCATCGAAGATAACAGACCTTTGAAAAGTCAGACTAATCCTCTCTAGACCTCTCACGGCACACCTACAGTGCCAGAGCATGAGACTACAGAACCCCTTATCTTGTTGCTTGCGTACAATCTCAGTAAACGTTAATTAACTATCCTGGACCCACCAATGTGAAAGAAGTATGTCTCTCTTCATTTTACTTTTAATCCAATTCCAGGTTTTCCCTAGCTTTGCTTTCCCCCACCCCTTCAATCTACCACCGATGGAGGATTTCCTGGACCCTCCTCACACACCCTCCTTCAGCTCTAATGCACGACACAAGCTGGGAAACTGCCATTCTGGAGCATTTTCTCAGTCCATTGAGATTCTGCTTCCTGGCAATTGTTGTGAGTTTGGCTCAGATAAACTCATTAAAATTCTCTACAGGTTTGGATGTTTGTTATGTCAACACCACCCTCTGAGCCTTCAGTATACCCAGATCAAACCAATAACCAAAACCAATGAGGGGCTGGTGGGAGTCACCTTGACCCACCCTGCCCAAAACAGATGGTGAAGAGTCATGTCCCCAAAGAGGACAGGACTGCAGTAAAACCTGAGGTCTCATGGAGTGAGTCTGTATTAGGTGAGAAAGGCAATGGAGTGATTTAGGTTAAAGAAAAGTGACCGTCAATGATACCACTGTGATATGCTGGGACACAAACATGCTTCTTTCTATTCAGAAAAAGCACCTGATAACATGAAGCCATGGTGTTCAATTTTTTTTTAACGGAGCCAAAAAGGCTGTGGGGAGGTAGATTTGTGTAATCCATCCCACCTAAAAGGAGTGCATTAGAAAGAAACACACCTGAGAAATGACTGCTGAACTGCTGCAGCATACTGAAATCTATCTCAAAATGCTTGTTCTCGTCTGGCTCTCAGCCAATCACCAAAGAAGAGCAAGGGAGACATGGCAACTTGAAAAGTAGTGTTCGGGGTGACCGCTGAGAACAGTGCCAAGAAACTAAACAAGAAAAGGGTCCCTCCAAAGACCCATCCCTTTCCCCCAAACCACTGTGTGACCGACCCCTTGCCCACTTCCCGGAGAGCAGGAAGGACTGGAGATTCTCTGGACAAGAATGTGTGTAGTCTGTGCTGTGTTGGATTGGGCATCAGCCCTCTCTGAGTTTACACATTAGTGCTATTTCCTTTAATCCTGATTTTTTAGTTATTTTTTTTATTTTAAAAGAATGTAACGTAAGTACATTATTTTGCTTTATTTGTGTGTTTGCTCTTTCTTGTCCTGTCTCTATCCCCCTGGCCTAGTCTGGTTTTCCCCAAACAAAGGGCAAATGGGAATGTCAGGAAGCCCGGCTAGCGGCTAGCGCTGGCCTCAGGGAACAGGCGCCCCAGCTGAGGCAAGACTGCCCAGCAAGAAGCCCAGGAGGCTGGATACCTGCCATTGGCCGCCAGCCGCAGAGTGCGCAGCTGGCTCCCTTCCCTCCCGCCCACTGCGGAGAATACAGCTGGCCCTCCAGCCCACGCTGTAAGGGAAAGAGGGAGCTGCCAGACTGCCCTCACAGAGCAGTTCGCTGAAAGGTGCTGCCCCCCAATCGCCTCTTGACTTGCCACTGCGCCTGCTGCCTGCTGCAGTCAGTGAGACGGCCAGACGCAAATGGCTCTTTCCGTCACCATGGAAGCCACAGCCTGAAATGCTCCCTGGGTGGCAGCAGCTCTAGCCTGCCAGGGTTACTGGTCTTCCCACTATCAGGGCACAGATTACATACAGTCTCAGGAAAATTCCACAGGAAAACCAGGTCTGTTTGTTCAGGATCTTGCCTGGCCAGTTTAATGTAAAACAAACTTTAAAAGAATAAGGGCAGGCGAATGCACTCACAGTATATCCTGGCAGGGAAACTATTTTTCAACAGCAAGTACCTGTAAAGAGTCGCCTCTCCTGAAATTCAGTTCTTTGCGAAGCGCTGAGCATCCGCTGCGGCTCCCATGGAAACAGTGGATGGGACTGCTTCCCTTCCCTCCACCCACGCTAGCTTCCGCACTGGCTGGGAACTCAAGTGCCTCGCCGCCCGAGATGCCAGCTTGGGGAGGCAGCATGGTGAACATGCTCCCCGTCTTTTAGACCCGTTGCTAACACTTAGAGTACTACAAGGCCAACAAAGTCGGGGTGGCTGGCGCTCTCCTACCTTGTTACCAGCACACAGAACTAGATCTAAACCATTGGCTGAAAAGCTTCCATTTTCAAGCTCAACATTTGTGTATTATTTCAAGCCAAAACTTGAAAGCCACAGAGAGCTGAACAAAAAATGGGGGTGGGAGAAAATTCTTGCTGTCCCTGATGACAAATACTTGTGAAATTGGTCTCCTCTCCCAGTATCACCAAGCCTTTGTGATGGATGCCATTTCCTTGGGGATACTGGCAACAAATTTAGGAATAAAGAGATTTCAGGAAGATTTTCATTTAAATGACACATGGCTTCCCTGCTGATGAAAGGGGAAGCCTTTCTCCATCTGCTGAGATCAAATTTCATCCCATCAAACACCTCAGTGTAATTATTTTTCTACCAAGTATTTAAATGAGGATGTAAATGAACACCAAGGTATCTGAAGTCATTAAGGCGGCTGCGGCTGAGAGGGAGCATCGCGGGCTCTCTGGGGACGGGCAGCTCACCATCAAAGCAGCTGGTCACGGGGGTTCAATTTGTGACCTTTACACCGCATTCTTGAATTAATGAAGAAACATCAAGAATCTGTTTCCTCTGAGAATCTTGGCACAGGGTCTGCATGGGGAGCAAGGCTGTGTGTGTGTGTGTGTGTGTGTGTGTGTGTGTGTGATGGGGTGCGTGTGCATTGTGTATTTCACCTTCTACTACAGTATAATACAGCAGTTCTAAAGTTGAGGGAATAACTATAAATAAGCTACCCATCATTACCTCTGTGCCTCTTTTATTGTAATGTGTTATTGGACCTGGATTTTAATTTCTCTACTTGTAGAGCAGGAATGTCAGCGTCGCCAAGATATTGAAAAGCGGGTTTGCAGCCCAACACTGGCCATCTTCTTCTTAGCTCAACTAGAAATACCCAAGTCTTAAGACCTACCCTGTCTGAGGAGGCGACAGATGAACATTTAGACTTTTCTCCATTTATAAACATCTCACTCAGTGTTATAAATAACACTCAACTTAAAAATTCCACTTTACCCTAACAACAAGATGGGCATACAATCTGCCATTTCCTTCATTTGAATGCGAAGAGTGGTAGGTTATAGTGGAAATCTTACCTCCTCAGAAAGGTCACATGGAGGAAGGGAAGGGAAAGGAAAGAGACAGACACCCTGTGTGTGTGGTAGGAGGGGGGCGTTTGGGGGGAAATGAGCAAAAGGAATGACGGAGAAGTCACATACTATATCTTTTTGATCAAAAATAAAGTTCTATAGAGTGTGAAGAGACTAGCAAACTTGGCTTATAGTGCTGTCAGTGCCTAAAGCTGTCATACAAACTAAATGCATGATTTGAAACCAAAAAATAAAAAATCAACACTTGGCTGTGTCAGGTGGAATCTTTTTTCCATTTTCCTATATCTGAGAGCTTGTAGCCCTCATTTAATACAGAAGATGCTAAAGAGTAAATTCTAGGCAGAGAGAATGTGTTCACTCTTAACAATCAAAAGCTGATTTAGCTCAGCAGAAATGGGATGCGATCCCCTGGCATGGACTGCTCCTGAGAACCTGACTGTGTAAATAAAAACAGATCTGGCCTGTGCCTTTCTCTGCAAACAGAGAACTGCGAGTAAAGTATCAGGAAAGTGAGGTCTTCATTAATGGGTTAACAGCAATGCCGCTTCTATATGAAACCATGCTTTCTGTAAGAGCTAAAACTTCCCTTTTGCTTCCATTTACTTATGTTAAAAGGGAGTCCAGTTAAAGTTCATTTTAATAAACATTTACATTCAAAAGGTTTCCATACATTTAAGTAGGGCAGGAAGCAAGAAGAAATAAAATATTGGTTAAGAAGACATAAATGCAAGAATTTAGATTTTGAATTAGAAAACTAACAATGAAATGAAGTAAATAGGTCAAGAGTACATTCTTCTTAGCAGCATTATTAAGTAATTAGTTGGGGAAAAAAGAATAAGAAACTATAAGGGATAGAAGCAATAGAGGCAAAATAAGAAATCATAAGGTATGTGAAAGGACTCGATTTTATAATTTTTCTTAAAAAAGAAACTGAGATCATGGTCTAGTTGTAGAGATCTTTAAATCTCAAATTTAAACATTTCTCAAAGACAGAGAATAAAAGAAAGGCAGGAAAATAAAAATCAGCTTGAGGAGAAACGGAGTATTAGAGAAAGAGTTAGGGAAGACAATAATCTCAAGTTCTTAATCTATTAAAAAAAGTATACAGAACATATTGATGCCAATCAATAATGCAAATTATTAGCCCTGGCTGGCGTAGCTCAGTGGATTGAGCACGGGCTGTGAACCAAACTGTCGCAGGTTCAATTCCCAGTCAGGGCACATGCCTGGGTTGCAGGCGATGACCCCCAGCAACCGCACACTGATGTTTCTCTCTCTCTATCTCCCTCTCTTCCCTCTCTAAAAATAAATAAATAAATAAAACTTTTTTAAAAAATGATGCAAGTTATTTATTCCTAAGGTTTTAAGTAATGTGACTATTGTAAACTGAGCCTTTGACAGATATTTCAGAGATTACGTCAATACCAATTTCTTATTGTTTAAACTTTTAGAAATTAGTTATTTATTTCATGCTCATATTTTAAAAAACCAGAAAATACAGATTAAAAAATCAATCCCAATTTCAAATGTGCCAAATAACTCATGATAATTTCTCTGGAGGGCTGATAATGAGTAAAATACATTTACTAATCTTTCAGCAATACTTTAAAAGCTGATGTAGTTTAAATATGTCTATGAACTTGGTATTACACTGTCCAACCCTGATGCTAATTTAAAGGAAACAACAATGGTCTTCCTTACTTTTATTTTTAAATCAGATAGCTGCCACCAAACGAATGAAGCAAGGACAATCGAGGCCCAAAGCACTAACCCCATCACAATCTATCCCAAAACCCACTCTCTCTGTTCTAGACTACTCTTGTGTATAACTAGAAAGTAGAGTTGATCCCCCTGCCAAAAATCTGAGTGCTAAAGACTTACAGCACTAAGGCTTTTGTTCTGCCATGGTCGCTTTGCTAGAATACCAACAGAGCTATTCCGAGCCTTGCTTCCCTTGACAACTGTTTCAATGTCCTTTTTACCCAGCATTACTTGAGAGACCTCACTCCTAGTCCATCAGAGGGTCCCTGTTCTCCAACAGCAGTGGAGATGGGAACACTTCAAGGTGCGTTTCATCACTGACCAACATACCAGCGAGTCAGCATCCTCCTGACCCGTCCACCAGATGCTGCATGTGCTGCACATGCCCATCCCCCTCCTTAGGAGCCGACACAGTGCTCATGCTCCCAGCGCTCTGGCGGGGTGCAAAGAGCCCAGGGATGCCTCCGCACATTTATAATAAAGGAGGAAAAATTCTAGTCTCAGAACTTAAGAATAGTTCCTCTTCAAAGCTAATGATTGAAATACAGGAAAAATAATGACACTAACAAAAGAGATCACAGGCTGTGAAAATGCTAAACAAAAAAAGTCATCATTGGCCTATTATTTCTTCTTTCTTTGAAAACAAAAAAAATATATATAAAAACAAATTAATTTGATATATGAATATATATATCGATGTGATATGTGACACCTAATTGAACTGCTAAGATGTCTGAAACTTACCTTGAGATGGCACATGATAGAAAGAAACTAAATATGGCAATATATTAACACCTGTCCATCCAGGGAAATGGGTATATAGGTTTTTGTAAGTGTCTTAGCTTTTGGGTACGTTTGCAATTTTTATAATAAAATGTTGAAAAATAATGACATTTTATATTTAGATAGCAGTTTTCAATTTATAAGGGCCTTTGAGAGACAAAAAATATATAATTTACTCTTCCATAATGGCCCTGTAAATTAGTTAGGTCAAATATAATCACCGTATCATAAAAACAAAGCCTCGGACATTTAACAAAATTCAACATACTTTCGTGACAAAACCCCTTAGGCAACTAGGAATAGAAGGAAAATGTCTCTATGTGATAAAAGTCATTTATGAAAAGCCTATTGGTAACATCATACTCAGTGGTAAAAAAAAATGAAAGCTTTCCCCCTAAGACCAGACAAGACAAGAATCTGCTCTCAACACTATTATTTAACATTGTACCACAAGTTCGAGCCAGAGCTTTAAACAAAACACACACACACACACACACACACACACACACACACAAAAGAACCCCGATTGGGAAAGAAAAGAGGTGAGAGGTAAAACTATCTCTGCCTCTATATGATATGCTTCTCTATATATTGAAAAAATCCCAGAGTCCACAAGGAAACTACTAGAGCTAATAAATAAATTCAGCAAAGTTTCACAGTACAGGGTCAACGTGCAAAAATCATTTGTTTCTATACACAAGCAATGAACAACCCTAAGAGAAAGTTAAGAAATTCAATTTATAATAGCATCTAAAAAATTAAACACTTGAGAATAACCCAAAAACTATGAAACATTGCTAAAAACATTTAAAGACAATTAATGGAAAGACAACCCATGTTCACTATAGAAGTTAAAATATCAATACTACCCAAAGAATGCAGATTCAAACACAATACCTATCAAAATTCCAATAGCCATTTTTTAAAAAGTGAAAAAGCAAATCTTCATATTTGTATGGAATTTCAAGAGACCCCAACTAGCCAAAAACAATATTTAAAAAGAAAAATGAAGTTGGAGGACTCATACTTCCCAACTTTGAAACTTATTACAAAGCTATAGTAATTAAAACAGTATGGTCCTGTACAAGAAGAGACCTATAGACCAATGGAATAGAAAAGAAAGCCAAGAAATAAACCCTCGTGTGTATGGTTCATAATTGACAAGAGTGTCAAGACCAGGCAATGGGGAAAAGACAGTCTTTTCAACAAATGGTGCTGGGAGAACCAGATGTTCACCTGCAAAAGCATGAAGTTAGACCCTCACCTTACACCATCTACCAAAACTGATTCACAAAGAATCAAAGACCTAAACTTAAGAGCTAGAACTATAAAACTCTTAGAACATTGGGGAAAATGTCCATGACATTGGATTTGGCAACAATTTCATGCTATGACACCAAAAGCAGAGACAATAACTAAAAAAAAAATTAATTAAACTTTATCAAAATAAAGAACTTTTATGTATCAAGGATACCCTCAAGAAAGTAAAATTACAACCTAAAGAATGAATTAAAATATTTTCAAATAATTTTCATATACCTGACAAGTGATTAATATCTAGAATATATAAAGAACTCCTATAATTCAACAACAAATAACCCAATTCAAAAAATGGGCAAAGGACTCGAACAGACATTTCTTCAAAGAAGTTTTACAAATGGCCAATAAGTACTCGATATCATTAGTCATTAGGAAAATGCAAATCAAAACCACAATGAAATACCACTTCACATCTACTGATAAGGCTATAATTTAAAAAAATGGAGAGCAACATGTTAGTGAGGATGTAGAGAAACTGGAACCTCAGCATATTCCTGGTAGGAATGTAAAAAATGGCACAGCCACTATGGAAAATGGTTTGGTGGTTTCTCAAAAGTTAAACATGGAACTAACAGATGACCCAGCAAGTCCATTCACGGGTATGTCTCCAAAAGAATGGAAAGCAAGGACTGGAACAGGTATCTGCACACCAGTGTTCATAGCAGCATTATTCACAACAGCCAAGAGGTGGAAACAACCCAGGTGTCCATCAGCAGATGAATGGATAAGCCAAATGGGCATATACAATAGAATACATTCAGCCATGATAGATGCTACAACATGGGGGGACCTTGAAAATAGTATGCTTAATAAGTCAAATGTCAAAGGTCAAGTATTCTACAATTCCACTGACATGGGGGAACTCAAATCAGCAAATTCACAGACAGAAAGCGGAAACAGAGGTTACCAGGGCTGGAAGAGGAGGAAGGGGGAATTACTGCTCCACAGGTACCAAGTTCACGCTGAGGATGATGAAACAGTTTTGAGTATAGACAAGGGGGTGGGTACACAGAGCACTGTGAATGGGGGGTGGGAAAAGTAGGTTTACAGGTGAGTACGCAAAACACAGAGTGTATTCTTGTATTATTATTTATGGATTATTGTATTATTTTCCATACAAGTAACTGTTAACCTATTTTTGCCCCACCCTGTATATTTAATGCTACTGAATTGTGCACTTAATCAGTAAAAGGATAAGTATGTTATATTCATTTAAGCACATTTTTAAAAGGATGTTTTAAAAACAAAATCTCAAAAGTGTCAAGCGATTTCCTCTCTGAGCCATACCCTAGTAAAAGGCAAAACCAACATTCAATCTTAATTTTTCAATCTCCATGACAACAAAAGACATAATAGTGTATTAGCTGCTCAGCATTAAAGCAAAATCAAATTGTTTTGATTCCCTGGGCTCTCTCCAGAAGATCACCTTCTAAGACCAGTCAAGAAGAGTAAGCTACTTAGTCTTCACTTTGCTATGAAATCTCCATTACCAGGAGATACATATGCTCTAGCTTCTGTCTGTTGTCCAGGAAGGTGTGCAAGGCATGCCTGGCACACTGACCACACACTTGCCCTGACTAAGAACGCAGGCTCCAGAGTCGAATTACTACCTCATATCCTGGCTTCCCTATTAACTGTGACTGGAGGCAAGCCATTTAACCTAAGTGGTCCAGTTTCCTAGTCTGTGAGATGAGAATACTTACCTCATAAAGATGTTAAATCACCCTGGCTGGTGTAGCTCAGTGGATTGAGTGTGGGCTGAGAACCGAAGCATCGCAGGTTCGATTCCCAGTCAGGGCACATACCTGGGTTGCAGGCCATGGCCCCCAGCAACCGCATATTGATGTTTCTCTCACTCTCTCTCTTTCTCCCTCCCTTCCCTCTCTAAAAATAAAAAATAAAATAAAAAAATAAAATCTTAAAAAAAAAGATGTTAAATCAAATGTGCAAAGCACATGGTAAAAAAAGGTTTCTATTGCTTTCTCCTCCTTGCCCCTTCCTCCTCCTCCTTTTTCTTCTTCAACATCAACATTCCTTATTATCACTGAGACTCTGCAAATTACCTGGGAGACCGTCATCTGCATGTTACTCTGCCCACTGCAAAGCCAGACGTCTCCAAATAAGACATCGTGAACGCCGAGGGTCAGGTTCCTTCTCCTGAAAGTCTGCTGTGCCAGGACTTCATAAGGTCCGCCAGGCTTCAAGGGGTCCAGCACCACCATCCAGGTGTTAGAGTGTGCTGAAATAATAACAAGGCTCCAAGGAATTAATCGGTCAGTTAATTAAAATGAAATTAAAGCCCAATCCTGTCAAGCATTGTACTCATTTGCAGCCTTTCCCAGCTTCAGTGATTGACTGAAGTCAAAGCTATACAAACTGGCCAAATTTCAGTCAAGCAAATACAAATGACAGCAGAGGCAGAACTTCTATCCTTTATCTGTGCTGATCCCGCCTTACTTTTGACTGAGGCATTCACAAGAGAAGTAAATTAGCCAGCTATAATCCTAAAGGAGGAAACACAAAAATACAAAGAAAGTAAAATTCAAGGGCATTTACTAAAAGCAAAATAGAAATTCTTATCATACCGTCCAACTGTCAACATTAACATAATCATAATCTAATAGATTGACACAGTGCCCCAAATGATTAGAAAAAATCAGTTGTAACCTGAAAACTTCCCTTGCCTGATGGTATCATCTTTGTGATCACCATCCCCCACCCCACCTCCTCCCCACATTCCTACCAAGGATTAATACTAGCAGTAGTTCCAGGTCCTCCTGTCCCAGAACTGGTAAAGGGTCAGTGAGAAAGTTCCATATAAAGAAGTAGTGGGAGACATAAATTAGTAGCTCTGTGAAGAAGATATTTAGATCTGCCCAATTAATTGCTTTCCCAGAGTTATTTACCAGACTTAAGGTTTTCACACTCAAGTTAAAGAGATGAGAAGGCTGCCCAAGCCCCTATTTCAGAGACTCACGGCGTATTCCTTGGGAACCACCTCCCCGCCACCTTCCTACCTCTCACCCACTCACACTGCCACCCGTGCAAACATCACGCTCAGAAACTTAAGAAAAATATCTTCAAAGTGGCAAAATTATGCCCAGGAGAGCCACACCACAGGAACAAAGCCGAAAAAATGAGAATAAGAAAATAGATAAAATAGAGAAATAAGCATTTAAAAGGAAATATTCTTGGCATGATGCAGATAATACGAAGTGATTAATAACTTGTGCCCATTGGATCAACGTAAATTCAAAGAAAAAGAGTGGTAAAAACTGGAAGTGGGGCATCCCAAAGTTATTATGCCAGCTTGCAAACAATAATAATTATAAAAATACTACCTAAGTGACTACTACGTGCTAGGCAGTGTGCTCCGTTCTCTGCAGTCAGTGAGAGCTAAGCAGAAGCGTACGCAGTCTGGATGCATGACGGGAGATCAGGAAAAGCCCCAACCATAGAGGGCTGCTCAGTCGGGGGTGGGGGAGGGAATGGCCAAAACCTGCCACAGCGTCAGTGAAAGGGCACGTGTTTGCTCCCCTAGGAAGCACAGACAACTCAGTCTGCTCCTCCCAGCCCTAAGAGGCCAGTCAGGCCCAGGACCACATTTCTGCTACGGTTTTTATGCCACCGATAGCCAGACACCAACACAGCAAGTGTGTAATTCACCTAAAGCAGAAAAACCACTGCTTTGGTGGCGGCGGGCAGCCGGTGCAGACTGTGCCGCACAGGTGCACGCGCTCCGTGTGTCCACATGGCTCGCACTTCTGAGCAGGCAGACACTCCAATCTGTCCCCGCTGCAGTCCTGCCAAGGTCTTTCTAGGCTTCTTGCACTGACTTATCTCACCGGAGCTCTGTCCTTCTGCCACCGTTACTCACTCGTACTGATGAGTTCAACCCCCAGAAAACCAAACATGGCAATTTTTTAGCCTTCTAGGGCTACACAATCCATCCTCATCACGGCTGTTAAGCAGTATCGTCCCTGCACCCCAGCCCAGGCAATGTGGCTGGTCAAGAAGACTGCCTTCACCAGAGTTTCTGAAAGTTTTGCTGCTCAGCAGTAAAAAGACAAATAAAGGAAGGGGGACATTTGGGCAAAACATGACAATACCACCCTACCCCAGCGGGAGGATGAGCTCTCCCTACAGGAGCAGAGAGGACTCCACGTCAAGGCCTGAGCCCTATTCCCAGGAACTGTTCAGAGCAAACCTCTCACATCGCTTGAAGACCTGGAAGAACCTTCTTCTGTTCTAGTCCTCAAGTTATAGTTGACAGCTTTTTCCTGCTTCCACTCGATAGAAAAATAAACTCTGGTACAGTTGTGAGTGTTAAGTAAAAAGTTAACTGCCAGGCAGGGCAAAGAAAATCAGATCTGCTACAGAGAGGTTACTAAGGGTCAAAGTTACTCAGAAACAATCTACTTAAAACAATGAGAATTTACATTCCTACATAAGCACACGTTCAAAGGAGAGCAGCCTCTGGGAAGACGTTTCTTAGATCAAAGGCAAGGGTGGGATTATACAGGCAGAAGCCACTGCGTATCACAAGGAGAACTGCCTGGTCCTCGGCCTGTCAGTTCAGGACTAACTGGACCTCACCACAGGATGCTGAAGTCCAAGTTATGGTTTTTAGAAACTGTGCTGCCCCACCAAGGGGCCCCACCAATTGCCCCACTCAATAGGTTGAGTCCAAATAATAAAACTGCGTCACTGACCACAAGAGTTTGAGGTTCACCATCCAGCTGGCCTCCTGCTGATCCCAGTGGGCGGTGGCCGGTGGGCTTCGTGAGCAGCAGTTCCTCTGGTTCCTTCCTTTGGGCCCTAACCTCGTGCTACGGTGTAACGTCTTTCCCAGTCCAGCCCCAGGCTGCTGTAGATGCTCACCACATTCCTGTCTCTGCTTCCGCACATTCTTTCTTCTCCCATCTGGGAAGACTCATCGCCTTCTTCCATAACAGAGCTGGAGTGCACCAAGAGCTCCATCGTGTAAAAGGCAAACAGACCCCACCCTTGGCCGCCCTGACGAGAAAGCCTAGCAGACTGGCTGGGGCTTCGAGTCTCCATGTCTGACGGCCCATTTACTGTTCCTCCTCTCTTCACACTCCAGCCAAAGACACAGGTCAGGATCACTCTATCTCCATTTCCTCTACATCTCCCTCTCCCACCCCCATCTAAAAATGGGAAGAACAAACAATCAAAGGGAAAAAAATCAAAATAATTTGTCTAGAGACATGATTAGTCATAAAGTACTTTCTTTTTTCTTTCTGCTATTCACATCAGATGTTAATTATTTTTCAGGTTGTTGTGCCAAATCTCAGATGCCAAGAACAGAAAAGGGAAAATTATCCACAACCTTTCCCTTCCCACGAGGAAAAACCTAGAGCTGGAAGAAGCCACTCTGTTCACTTCCCACGCAGAACCCTGGCATTCGCCAGCTGCAAACGGGTTCAGTGACCTGTGGAAGTGCCTGGAAGGTAAAGAAAGCTTCACGGGCCAAACTGCCCCTTTCTGGCCTGCATTTATTCTGTATAAAGTCCACCTCCGCCACCACCAAACATGAATGTAAAAAAAAAAAAAAAAACAAAAAAAAACAACCTTAAGTACCTGTTAAAACAACTGTTTATGCAAGTCACTTCAACTGTAGCATGCTGTGGCAGACATGCCCTAAGATGATCCCCAACAAGTCACACCCTGGTCTAACCCCTGCCCCTCAAGTGCAGGCAGAACCTGTGATCTGCTTCTAATTAACAAAAAACAGCAAAGGGGATAAGATGTCATTCTCCTGATTAGGTTATGCTGTATGGGAAAGATAGAGGGGTTTTGGAGATGTGATTTTAGTCCTAAATCAGTTGACTTGAAGTTAATAAAAAGGGAGATTACCCTGGGTGAGCCTGACCTAATGTGCTGAGCCCTTCAAAAGAGTATCTAGAGGTCAGAGGTGGGAGGCAGCCATGATGCAGCCATAACTCCTAAGGCACAAGGCAGTGAACCTGACGGAGCTGGCAGCAGACAGAGCTTGGCAGTGGATCGGTTCCCAGCTGGGCCTCTGGACACAGCGCAGCTCGGCTAATGCCTGGGTTTCAGCTGGGCAGACCCTGAGAAGGGTACCCAGCTACACAACGGCCGGGCTTCTGACCTACAGAAACTGTGAGACAGTAGAAGTGTGCTGTTCTAGGCACCTAAGTTTGTGGTAATTTATTATGTAGCATAGAAAATGAGTGTGCAGGCTAACACTACAACCAGGGACTTTTTATTTTCTAAATTAGAGTAAATATTATCTGTTTACTTCAATGAGGCTGACAAGTCCAGGCAGATACAGCCTCATCTTGTCATGCACATGCGCATCCCTGTGTGTGTCAGAGTGAGAGGACGCACGCTATCCCCCAGTTCCACTCCTTGTGCCTGGACCACCCTGTGTCCTCTGATGATGTGGTCTGAGGGTCCCAGTGCTTGACCATACGCCCAGTCACCCACCAGGTTTTAATTTCCCCAATGCTTAAGTGTCAGTCTCCCAGCTAAAAACCTTTACATTGTTAAGTTCCACTTTGTTGTGGGCAGCTAGGGGGTTACAAGTAAAGTAACAAGTTAAACATTAACAGAGAGACACAGAGTGGGGAGCTGAGGTAGTCTGTCTAGCTGGAAATTCCCAGAGTCCTCGTGGATGTGGAAATAGAAGCCAACCCTTAAATATACCCTGTAGTGTCTCCTTTGAGAAACATTTTCTTTTCTGCCCTTCTTTATTCCAAATAACACTTTATTCAGTTTGCTCCATGGGCAGGACAGAGCAGGAGGCCCCATGAAGTAGGCTTGTGGATCTACAAAACCAAAGCCTAACAAACAGACCGACCCCCACCCCCAGCACCAGCACCAGCACCAGCACCTTTATCTCCTTCAGACAGAGGCTCCTGCGTCAGGCGGCTAAGTCTCGCCTTCTTGACCGTCCTCACAGCAACCACCCTGGGGCAAGCCTCCCTGTCTATTGTCTGAACATCCTAATGGCCTGCTAACAGGTGCCCCCACTTCCAGTCTGACCCATCTCCAGTCGCTCTTCCCCAGCGCTGCCAGAGCAATCTAAAATACGAATCCGATTGTGTTATTTCGTGCTTGAAGTTCATCCATCCAAAACAGAGCACTCACTCCTTAACAGTGACGAACGAGCCCCGGACATTTCCAACCTCATGGTTCTTGTCACTCACCACCAGTCACATACCCCCCTGCTCCAGACAAACCCACTGGCTTGCCGCTCCTCCAGTGGCCCGAGCTCAGCTCACTAGTGCCTCCCTGCCTTTGCCCAGGCTCTTCCCTCTCCCTGGTTTGCCCTACTTGTCTTTCAAGGTAAACCTAAGGCGAAGTTAATTATCCCTGCTAAGCACTCCCACTGCACCTTGTACTTTGCCACTGTGGCACTTACCACATTTAACAGTAACTGCTTGTTATTTTTCTGTCTCCTTGCCTAACCTATTAGCTTCATTAGGGGAGAAACCACATCTGTTTTTCTCATTACTATATCACCAGGACCTAACACTGTATCTGGCACATAGTAGACCCTCAATAAATACTAGAGTGACTGGATAAAATAATAACAATAACAACAGTTAACATTTATTCAGTACTTAATGTGTGCTGGGCACTGTTCTAGAGTGCTTTATATATATTCATTCATTTAAAATCCACACAATCCCAAATACTATTATTATCTCGCTTTACAAATAAATAAATAGTGACACGGAGGTATTAAACATCGTGTCCAAGATTATATAGCCATTAAGCAACAGAGTCAGGACCTGAACCGAGACAGTGAATTCCAGAGCCCAGGTTTGTAACCACTCCTCCATACTGCCTCTCCTGGATGCACGATTCAGCTCAAAGGCCCCCTCCTGTGTAAACCGTCCCTCATCGTCCAATCTGAGGCAGATGCTGCTCCTCTGCACCCCATGGCACCCCATGTCCCCCTCCATCACAGCAGCGATCACACTCTATAACTGGGTGTCTACTCCCTTATTCTGTCAGCTCCAGGACACTTGGCTCAGTCTTCATTTTCTTTGTATCCTCAGTGCCTAGCACACGATAAATGCTCAACTTCTATGGAAGGGTGGATGGATGGATAGCCTGAGCTAGAGAGGAAGCTTTCATTCTCAGACAATCCAGCAGGTGGCAGGAGAAGACAAAAGCTGAACAGAGAATGGGGGCTGCCTTACCTTTCACAGGAGTCACTTTCTTCATGATGACTTCCTGATCTTGACGAAGAGTCACTGTCACTGTGGCTCCCGGTATGCCATAGCCCCAAATCACTGCCCCTGCGGGCTCCTTCTGTAGCACCATGTGATTATGGATGTGTGAAGCAAATCGAAAATCAGCAGCTGGAAATTTAGCAAACAGAAGAGCATTACTAGGAAGACAGCACTGATAGAATCTGGTTAACGAGAGAGGAACACGCCGTCTTCATACCAGAGAATTTGAATATAATCAGTACTTTTAATCCTCTAAACCTAGATCTCATTCCCCCTAATTAAGTAAGCAAATCACAACAACAGTTTCCAACAATATGCACCACAGTACAAGACCAACAAGGAAAACTCCGAGAGCCTAGGATGTGCCCCAGACCTCTTCCCCTGTGGAGCCCTCGATCTGCCTTTGCTCTCAGGCTTGGCCCTAATGCTTCGCTCTCTCCTCCCAAATCACTAAAATGCTCCTTTTATGCACCCTGCAGATGGTGTTTATGAGAAAAATAAAGCACTTCCTTCCCTTCCTTTCCTTCACCACTCCCACTGCCGAGTAACTGGGAACTAAGAAGCCTGCCTCTCTCCGACATAGCCTCTCTAAACTGTCCCCCCCTTCCCACCCTGCCAGTGTGAATTTCCCTCAAGTAATTCCTCTTATTGTGGTTTTTGGACAACCCACTGAAAATTCTAAATAAGCATGTACGAATATCTGCGACAAGTCTGCTTCCTTCTAAGGTAAATTCAGATAAATCAAGGTGCAAAAAATAAGGTCAGTGCAAGTTAGAAAGTCAAGCTGTCTGAACAAAGGTCTTTTGTCATCATTTTACCCATTTCACAAGCTAAATTATGCACAAAGAACAAGAGGAAGAGCACTTGAAACTGTGGATTCTATTCTAGAGTCACTAACAAGACTGAATAAGAACTCATTTTAACAAGATCATTCCTATTTTTAACATTCAGCCTATATCAAAGTATTTTATTAATAACCAGCATCTATCCAAATTATCTGTGCACTCCTCATCAAAACTTAAAAGGGGGGAAAAAAACCCTTAAGTTATAGCTTTGTCTAAACAGACCCCAAAATCCTAGAAGAAAATAATTAATACAATTAAGATTTTGAAAAATGATAGGCAGGAAAGAGAACCAGACCTAACAAGGCTGACATTTCCTTCCCTAGAAGCTACAAATGATGACGGCCCCTCGGGCTGTATTCCCGAGCACACAGCTAATGGGGCCTCCTACACAGACTCAGTGGCCTATTTGTCCCGCACTTCAAATAACAGCCCCAGTCCCAAAAAAAACAGCCTTGGCTCTCTCTTAAGAGTTAGTTCCATCATGAAACCTCTGTGACAAAGTTCACCCAGAAGGCCCGCTGGGCTGGCAATGCATGGCTGCCTGGAGCAAATGCTCTAAGAGATTAACATCACACCAGGGGGAATTGCATAAGCACCTTGGCAGCCCGCTGGAGGGAAGGGGAAAAGCATGTGTGTGGGAAGGCCTTGTCTTGGGTAGGTGCTTCACAGGAGCCGGTGCACACGGAGGGCTCTAGTTGCACACAGCCACCTTCCCGAAGGCCGGGGGAAACACCTTCCCAAATCAGTCTGTCTTCTCCAGCGCACACTTACTGAACCTCTTTGTGCACGGCTCCTGTTCTCAATCAAAGAATTTTAGATCCTTTAGAGGAAGGATCATGTGTGTCCTGCGGTATAATCACATTATTTACTGATCAACAGACTAAGACCCAAGGAAATTAGATAATTTTTTAAAATAGCTTGCATACTTATTAACTCAACAAATATTTATTGATGCCTACTATGTGCCAGGCACCATGATAAGCATTAAAAATAGACACACAAAATCCTTACCAGCAGGGAGCTTACATTCTACCAATGGCTTACTTGCGGCAGGCACTGTGCTAAACACCCTGCAGATACTAAGTTACTTAGTATCTTAGATACTTAGTATCTGCAGGGTGTTAGTAACTTAGTATCTAAGTTACTTAGTATCTTAGATACTTAGTATCTGCAGGGTGTTTGGCACAGTGCCTGCCAAATACTGGTATCAAATGAGCCTTCAACAGAGGAAACTAATAAAATAATGGCCCTACTCTTCTCTTTATCTTCTCCTCACCTCATACGCTAGACTCATATGTCCCCATGTGAGGATGAGAGAAAAAGATTCGTTTACACTTTGGTTAAATCCAGAAGAACCACCTATGCACTGAGGTTTGTCTGCATCTGGGTACTTTCTGGATTCTTAGGGAGAGCAACCATCGTATTTCTGCACTCCAACAGTCCTCCCACCTCAACTTTCATTTCTTAACGGGGATTTTTGTGGCCTACTATTTGAGTGTTTGAAAGAAAAACTGGGTCCAGCATTATCACTTTAACTTGCATTAGCAGACAGAGCTTCTAGTTTTTCCATAGTTGTGACCCAGTGTCCAGCTTTGTGTGGTCAAATGACAGGAGCTGACTTGGACAATAGTCAGTGAGTCACTCTCCTCCCCTGTGCCACCCATATTATCCCACCACCAATATCTGTAAGCTGCACCAGAAACCAAAGTTGAGCCTGAAATATTCTGAGCTAGTGAGGGGGTTGTACTTCTTAGCCCAATTAAACTAGTAAGATTTAATTCCTTGCCTGAAGCAAACCCTCCCCCAGGGTATCACTGAGGGGGCTGCACTGAAATGTTTTGGATGACTCACGCACCTGTTTCCAAATATTACCTAACTGGCTCTGACCCTCCTCTGCCAGCTCCGCAGCAGTAATTCAAAGACCCTGCGGGGCTCCCCACTCAGATAAACCCAACTCTCCATCTGCTTAAAGCACTGCATCCTAACGGCGGGACTGGAAGGAGGAAGCGGAAGGGCGGGAGTTCCAGCCAACAACACCCGCTGTGCAGGCCTGGGTTGGAGACCCCTTCCCCGACCTTGAGAAGGGGAGTGTGGGGGCGGGGGGAGGGGCGGGCCCGAGCGCGACGGTCGTCGGACTCCGCGCAGGCTGGCGGGGGTTCGGGTCGATCCAGGCCGCCTCACCTGGCCTGGTGCGAGCCCGCAGGATTAAGGGCAGCAACAGCAGTCCCAGCACAAACCCCGGCGCGACCATATTTGCTAACAACCGCCTCCTAGCGCGGACCTCGGGGCGACGACCTCCGGGACGCGGATGCGGAGTCCAGGCGGGGCGGAGCCTGGCCTGTTAGGGGCGGGGCCGTAGGGCGGGGCAGGCCTGGCCCCACCCTACCAGGCCCTGTAGTCCGCGAAGCGGTCCGCGAGAAGGGGCAGCCCTTCTCGGCCACCGTAGTCGATTGAATAAACGGTTCCTCGGCAACGAGAAAAAAAAACAACTAGAACCATCGGCACCAGCTCTGAGAGAAGCAAGAGGTGAGGCGGTTGACCCCACTTCCCGTCCGAAACTGAGACCTCCTCTTTTCCCTTCGCCTCTCGTAATTTTCCGAGGGTCCCCGACACATTCAGGGAACCCTCGGGCAGACGGGGAGCCCAGACAGCCAGCCGGCTGGGAAGCCCCGCTTCTCGATGTCCCGCCCCTCCCACGGCCCTCCGCTCCTCGGACCCGCTCGGGGACTCGCGAGTCCTTTTCACACCCCGAAAAGGATGTAATACCTCATCTCCTGTACCCTCGAAAAAACGAAAAAAATAACGCCGACAGATTAGGCCTCATGAAACCGTCTAGTCCCATTATGCAGCATTGACTCACAACAGGCCGGGTCCAGAGTGTGTTTTGCTCGCCCCGCAGCGCAGCCCGCTGCCTGGCAGCTCTCCATCTGGCCGTCCTGCGCCGAGGCAGGAAGGCAAGACCTGGTCAAGACAGAACCGGAGAAATAAGAATCCCCAGACTTTGGAGGATGGGGTTGCAAAATTAGGACTGCCCCTTGCCCGCCATGCTGCCCCTGCCGCCCCTTCCAGAATATATAGGCGCTACAAGGCATTGTAAGTCATACTTTAAAAGTGTGAAACTTAAAAAATTAGAGTAATTTCTAGAGCCAGGAGCAGTTCTGACTTTAATTTTTTTTTTAATTTTAGACCCTAAACTGGATCTTCTCAGCAATTTATGGTGAACTTTTGACAATCGTTCTCTCTAAATCCCTGTTAGATAGAAAAGAAAAAAAAAACACCTCACCTTTTAAATACAGAAAGACATCGAGATAGAAAGAAAAAGTACTAATGCTTTAGTGAAAAATCTGTGATTTTTGTAATTAAAAGAATGACCGGACCTATTAAATAGGCCTGTATTTGTAATAGTCTAACTAATAATGGAGAATTCAAGAGTCTTCAGAACAAATGGGTGGCCTGGGATTGTGTTGGGGGAGAGTACTTAAGTCCAGGAAACTTGGTGCTCAAAAATACTGTGTTGCCGTAGTTGTGATCGTGTGAGTAAAATCGGACACATTTCAAGACAGCGCTCTTTAATAAATCTCCAGGTACAGTAGGCAGTTCCTTCCAAGGAGATGTCGATCCCATTCTCCAACACCCACTACCGAATTCCACAAGGATTTGGGAACCTTCTGGAAGGGCTGACGCGCGAGATTCTGAGGGAGCAACCGAACAATATACCATCTTTCGCAGCAGCATATTTTGAGAATCTTCTAGAGAAAAGAGAGAGTAAGCTTTTTAGAAATAGGCACTTTTTAAGTAAATAAGAGACTGAGCCCTCGGTTATGGTGAAACTTGTTTAAGACCGCCCCTGTTCCATAGACACAGCCTTTACGCGGCAGGCGGCATCGGGTGACGGTTCTTGCCGTTGGAAACAGCTGGGGGCCTGTGGGGCAGGTTCTCTTAAATTCCGTTACTTCCGGCCAGCGAAGATGGACAGTTCATTGCCCAGACCTTGGTGGCGGCCGTCTTAACGGACACGCCGGCCGGAGGGGACCTCGCAGATCCCCGGTGCAGCTCTCCGTCTCCCTGCGGGCGCTCCGGGCCCCCAGGGCGGTTGACTGCCTCTTCTTCAGGGCAGGGGAGATGTGTTTTCTCACATGTTTGCTCTTTTTACTTGAAAATATTGTGAGCGCTGTAAAAGTAACTCAAACTCCTTAGATTGAATGGATTGTCGTTCACTGAGGGATATGAAACTGGTCTACAGTACAGGCGCGGAGAAAAGCTGCTTTGAAGGCGATGTTCATTCTGCTTCTGTACCTGCGAGGCCCCATCCCGCCCACAGACTAAGATTCTGGACGACAGTGGCTCTAGTTGAGGGCCAAGCAGTCTCTTCATTTCCGAAAGTAAGGTTCAAATTTCCAGCCTTGAAGGTTCACGACTATCCAGACAGACCTAATGGTCAAAATGGGAATTATCACAGCTATAAATTTCTGTTAAAAAACTTATAAGTGGAGCAACCATTTTAATGTAAGCTTTTGTCATTACTTTTATACGGGAGTATGTGGAAATCTCAGTGTATTCTATTAGTTTATTTATTTATTTTTATTGAATTTATTAGAGTGACCTTGGTTCACAGAACCATGCAGGTTTCGAGTGTACGACTCAGTAAGACGTGATCTGCGCCCTGAATCGCGGGCTCATCATCCCAAGCAAGGTCTATTCCCGTCCCCACCCCTCCTAGCTTTGTCCACCTCCACCCACCTCCCCACTCCTTTATCATTACTTTTGATCACAGTATTGTAACCAAGTGCAAAGGTGCCTAGAAGTAGCCACAAGTAAATAAACCTTCCATTTAAATCGATTTAGAGGGAGAAAACCTCCGGCAAAGCCTGGATTGAAAGAACTCCCGTGGAGAGGGCAGAGCTCTCCGTCCTCTTGTCCTCCTTGCTCTGCCCTGGCAGAGCTCACGGTCTCTGCCAATTTCCCGAATGTTGCTGATCTTCTCCTTATCCAGTCACTGTGAATATTTGTCACGCAACCTAAAACTTAAATGCCACTAAAAAGCTATTAAGAAAAATCCTTTAGATTAAGAGGTGAATTATAATGAACATTAATTTAATTTTGTTATTTTAACTTTATTTTACAAATTCATGAGTGAAATGTCTTTAGTCATTTGTTTAATTTTAGACCTCAGAAAACATCTCATTACAAAAACATTTGAGTCATTGTTACTGGCTCATGACAATTAAAGCAATCGGTGATTCAGAGTGATAGTACCGGAATACTGACCCTCTAACTAGTACAATTGGGTGAAACTATCGGAAAAGATTGTAAGCATCATACCCATGTTCACTCCTGTAAAGCAAAGGTGAGTTATTCAACTGATGTAAGTGTTAGAATTTAGTCTCTCCAAAAGGGAAGCATAAAGTCCTCTGTCCAGTCTCTCACACAAGGCAAGAATCTCCCTACCAGCATTCCTCACAGGTAATCAGTCACTAGTCTTAATTCTGGGGTTTATGACTGGAAACATGTGGGTAAGTGAAGTAAGTGGTATCTCAAAATCACTGGGGAAAGGGGGGCTTTTTACTAAAGATATATAATAAAAATGGATAAAGATAAAATTTGATCTATTCCTTACATGGTTCACCAGGACAAGTTCCAAATTGATCAAAGATTTAAATATTTAAAACAATGAATCCATACAAATATTGAAAGAAAATATGGATAGATTTCTCTGTAACATAAAAAAGGGAAAGATGGCTAGCTAAGTTGCTATAATTACTTTAAAAATCCAAGAGCAATCAGGGAAGAGATGGATAAAATTGACAATATTACATGACAAAAGTTGCCATAAGGGAAATAAAACTACACATGACAAACTCAGAAAAATAAAGGTGTGCAATTAATATCACAGCTGGTCAATTAGCCTAATAAATAAAGAGCTTGTAAAAACAGTGAAGAAGCCCTGGCTGGTGTAGCTCAGTGGATTGAGCGCAGGCTGCAAACCAAAGCATCGCAGGTTTGATTCCCAGTCAGGGCACATGCCTGGGTTGCAGGCCAGGTTCCCAGTGGGGGCCATGTGAGAGGCAACCACACATTGATGTTTCTCTCTCTCACTCCCTTCCCCTCTCTAAAAAAATAAATAAGTAAAATCTTTTAAAAATTTATTTAAAAAACTGAAGAAAAACTAACTGCTATATTTTAAAAAATAGGCAAGTGATATGATCCAACAATTCACACAAAAATAAGTGCAAATGGCCCCTGACCTATTAAAACATATTCAAACTAACCCGTCATAATAGAAGCCCATATCAAAACTACACTGAGGCACCACCACCCACCACCAACAACCCCACTCATCAGATTGGCAAAAAGCCAAAAGCTTGCTGATTTATTTCAGGCAGGGCTGGAGGGAAATAATTACTTGTATATATTGCTGGAGGAAGTATAAAATGATACAACCTCAAGGAGGGGAAATGGCAGCATCTACCATAATTATATACATATTTAACCTTTGACCCAGAAATTCTACTTCACTTTTCACTGCATTGTTATTTGAGGCAGCAACCCAAATATCGATAATAGGGATTTATTGACTAGAGTACATCCACACAATGGAATATTATACAGTGTTTAAAAAACAGAGGGAGGAAGATCTCTGTGATGCTATAGAGTGAACTTCGAGATAAATTAAATGAAAACAGGTGGAAGCATACATTAGGGTTAGTATGCTGCTCGTTGCCTAGTGAAGGGGTGTTGCTATGAATACATAATGTTCATTTATATTTTTTAATGGAGGAATAATTTGTTTAAATAATACCTCTTGGGGCAGAAGGAACAGAGTGGAGGGAACAAAACAGAAGGCTAGATTTCTCTGAATATATCTTGAGTTTGAAATCATAAATGCTAGCATAGTTATAAGATAGAATGAAATTTAAAAATTGTTAAACAGTTTCTAAAATTTAGAAGCAAAGTGCAACAGACAAACCCAACTAGTATTGAATGGATAGCATAACCACACAGATTGGAATTATTTCAAGTGATTTTATGATGAAGTAATCCGACAGTACATCCCTGATGGATGTAGCCTAAGAGCAAAGTGAAAAAAATCTTACATTATTTTTAACAATTACTGTTAATATTATAGTATAGTTACTCTGTAATTATTGTGTATAAATTGTAGGACATAGCAAACAAGTATCTCTCCTACTGTAATTAGGAATAAGATGTTTAGTGTGAGAAAAATGACCTACACATATAAAAATAGTTAATAAAATCATGTAATTCTCAATTTGAATTGAAAAATATTATTTTGACCTCATGATATATTTTCTCTTTAAAAATAAGCTTTTTCTAGCTCCATATACTTTTGAAATTTATTGATTTTAGAGAGAGAAACATTGATTTGTTCTATTTATTTGTGCATTCACTAATTACTGCTTTTTTAAAAATAACTTTTTATCATTATTATTGATTTTTTTAGAAAGAGAAAGAGAAAAAGAAACAGACTTGTTGTTTCACTTACTGATGCACTTATTTGTTGATTCTAACATGTGCCCTGACTGGGTATCAAACCTGCAACGTTGGCATGTTGGGACAACTCTCTAACCAACTGAACTATCTGGCCAGGGCTCTGTACATTTTTAGGCCTCAAAACAAAGACCAATACAGTACCAGTGAGCACCGGGCTTCTTGGAGAACTAGGTAATCCCTTGAACTGGATAAGAAATACAAAGATGAGCCTTAACATCGTGCCATACCAGAAAATAAGGAAACCATCAAAGATTACTTGAGTTGTTTCCAAAGGACTCAAGAGCATCTGAGCACCCTAATAAGCCCCTACTGGCCAATTTTTGACAGGCATCAATTAGAATAAGAAAGACAATGGGTTAGAATTCATCTAATTTGTTAAATATTCATGAGCTTACAATGATTAAAAGGGAGCAGCTCCTTCAGAGGATCCTAAGGAACCAAATGATTATTCTGAAAACTGATAAATAGAGGGAAAGAAACCTTTAATCTACCCTTTCTGTAAGAACTGTATTTCAAGGTAACCAAATAGTTGATGAGGGAAACTTTTTCTTTATTGAGTGCTCCAGAGATGAAGTAATGGTAAAATTTGAACACTACCATTATGTAACACCTAAAGAAATGATCTAAGCAACCCTCATCATCAATGGGCCCATAGAAAATGTAAAGACAGACAACTAGGTGTTATATATCTCCTGACAGAATTACACTGCACTACTTGTATTTTTGCCAAAAACAGTCAAACCTGAATCACTGGAGCTCTAACTAGCAGTGTACAAGAAATTCAAAAACAGAGGAACTTGTTAAAAATCACCATGGAAATGGAATAAAAAATATCTAGACTATGGAAAACTCCAAAGAAAATGACCAAATTTTATCAACGAATACATTGCAAGGAAAAAAGATGGGGTGGGAGGTAGGGAGCTTTCAATGACAAGAGATTTAAAAGGCATAAAACAAGTTTGTGTGTGCCCACTGTTTAGGTCCTGATTTGAACAAACCAACAGTATAAATAAATAAATAAATAAATAAATAATAAATACTGAAAAATATTATTAGACAATGAGGGACATTTGGGTAATTGATATTAAGGAATTATTAGTATTTTTAGGCATGATAATGGTATTGTGGCTTTATATCTTAGAGATGTATACTGAAATAAATATTGCTAGATAAAGAAATACGATGCCCAGGATTGGCTTGAAAATAATCAGAAGAAAGCAGAAAAGTGAGTGAACTTTCAGAAAAAGTAAGATAAATTATAAGTTTATAATTGTTGAATCTAAGTTATGTGCACATGGGAAGTTGTTATATTCTCTATTTTCTAAGTTTGAAATTCTTCATAATTAGAAGTTAAAGAAAAATTTTGTTTAAATATAAATACTTGTTTCTGTCTATGTCAACTGCCTATACAATATGCCTCAATTTTAAAAAACATTCCCATCCTTCACTTTTCCAAACTATTTTCTTACTATTTAACATTTATTTTTATACATTTTCCTGTGTTTACTAATTTATGCTTATAAGTTTCTATACTTATATTTAAGTATTGGCATTTGTTCTCTCTCCCCATTTTGTTATAAACTTTATGAAGGCAGCACTTAACGGTTTTTTACTGCCTTTCTAAATATACCCAACGGCTCATCCGATGTTTAATTCATCAGTATCTATTTCATGATCGCTGGTTAGATCTGCAGTGCGAGGCTGTGTTCAACAGCAGTGAGATTTTCAGCTAGCAGTAATGAACCTGGGACTTGAAAAAAACTTGTTTTGTGTTATTCTAGATTTGCTTTAATGAACTCAAAGTAAGTCTAAAATTATTATATTTGTATTACTTAGAAACCAACTTTGATCCAGCAGAATGGGGGGCTAAGGTAGACGACCTCTTCTACAACAAGCATGCATTCAAGGTATGGCCCTCTGAAACTAATGGGTCTGGTTACTTCTTCTCCCTGTCTCTAGAACAGAGATTATTGGGATCTCCCAGAATCATGAAAATTGTGAGAGGCATCATAAATATCTCATGAAACCTTCTTAATTGTAGTGTTCTTCCTGATGAGAAATTCTTTTCTGAAGTATATCTGAATCACATATAGATACATAGTTTGAATTTTAGATGATGAGCAGGAAGAATGTAATGGAAAGTTATAGAATAAGTATTCTTTAGATTTTATTGGGCATTACAGTGCTTAGCGGTAGCAGATAAATATTTGTTGAATTAATGAGTGATATTTCATAAAATAAAACACTTCATTTAGTTATTTTGTTGACATTTTACAAAAGACTGAGTAGAATTAAAGATGGTAATGGTAGATAGAATTTTCTTTTCAAAGCTAATCTGTTCAGAGACTGAACCTATCTTCTCTCTAGTACTATTCTTTGAATCAGTCTTTCTCAGCTAAGGTTCCTCAAAATATTAATAATTAAGCCCTAAGCGGAAGGCACCCATTGCATATAAGGAATCACTGTCTCTCCTTTGCATCTAGAATGCTCCTAGTTATGTATCATCCTTTGGAGAATTGAGAAAATAGTCAAAGTATTCTGTTTTGTGATCCAGATCAGGAATACTGGTTGAGAAATGCCAGCATCATTGGCATCAACGGGGAGCTTGGTGGAAATTCGGTCTCAGGCCCTCCCCCAGGTCTACAGATCAGAAGCTGAGTTTTAACGAGATTCCTAAAGTAAAATGTTAGGTGCACTAAAGTTTGAGAAAGCACCACACCAGATAACCGTGATAAAACATTAGCCACAAAGCCCCTGCAGATATTGTAATTAAAAGGAATTAACAAAGTTCAACTTTTGATAGTGTTCCATTGCAGATTTGGGGAATTTCCTGGGGAAATATCTGTCACTTATTCCAAGTTCAAAAGTGAATTTCCACCCATTTGTACCTGCCAGATAAGGGGGGAGGGAATCTGTTTATATCCATTTAATTGGATTCTTTGTGTTCACACTTTATTGAAATCAAAGGAAAATGTTGAAAATTTAAAAATATTTGTGAGATACCAGCTGTTTCTTCTTTTTTGAATTCTAAAGACTTGATTTGATTAGCTTATATGTCCTTTCTGTTTTGTAGATTAAGGAAGCTCTTCCCATAAATTGTGAATTAGCAATGTCTCTGTTTTGGAGAAATATTTCAATAACATGTCAGTACAGGCAGGGCTGGTTTCCCTTTTTCTATCTGAATCGCTCCCCACAAGAAAATTTACTTTTTTGACTTAGTTTTTAATTTACAACTTCAATTTACATTTACAACTTTAATTTACAACTTAGTTTTTATTTAAACTTCATTAAAAGGTCACCCTGATTTCAGACTATAAAACACAATGACATTTATTTTGTTTCTGCTTTAAAAAATATTGGCACCTCTTCTTTACACTTTGCTCAGGACTCATTACAGCATCTTACCAACCTTCAGTGTAAGACAACGACCTGTTTTTAATGGAAAATAATGTTTCATACATTCCAAAAGCAAAAAAGCAGTCATTTTGTTTACCAGTTCTTTCATTTTTAATATTTGTTTATGCACATTCCTTTAAGAGTGCTCATTTATTTCTTCTTTCGTCATCCATTTTCCTTTTTTAAAAAATCAGTATTTTTTAAATTTCCACTTCTTCTCAATATCTTAAAGTAATATTGAATCACCTTCGAGCAGTCTGATCCAAAACTTTACTATTTGGAAACATTGCCTCTTTGGTCTCTCCCTTCTCTCCAGGAGCAAGAGCCACCTGAGAAAGAAAAGACTCAGCCACCTGAGAAAGAAAAGTCTCAGCCACCTGAGAAAGAAAAGTCTCAGCCACCTGAGAAAGAAAAGTCTCAGCCACCTGTGACAGAGGAGGCACCAGTCACAGTCATGGTAAGTTATATTTTCCATATACTGTTGGATTTTCCTAGAAAGAAGACACTCCATCTAAAATTATACCCTAAATGAGAATCTAGTTTGTTATCCATGTTGTTAAAATGATTATTTTGCTTCCTAGATAACTAACATCAGTGAGAAACTAACTGGTGGATTATTTTTGGCCATGCCACTTATAAAGGAAAACTCATTTCCCCTCAAAAATAAAATCTTATTTCCCAAGAATGTCAACAGATGGATAAATCTCTTCAAGGGGAAGAAAGGCAGAACTCACCAGCCCCATTCTCCATCCTTCAGATTCACTTCCCAGTTTGGGAGCTTTCCACTGCTTGACGCTGTTACCACCACACAGTGACGAAGGTTCAGAGATAACAAAAGGAAACTCTTGGGGGATGACACACAACCAAATGAAATGGCTTCACACAATGTGTCGTACTCACCGTGCATGCATGCCCTCTGCAAAAAATGACGTCCTGCTTGACAGCCTGCATCTAAGTAGTAAAACCTGGGTAGATACCTGCACGAATTCTGTATTCTGTGTGCTAGCCAGCTTGCAGCTTTCAGGAAAGGGTTGAATATATCTCTACATAACCCGGTGCTCAGTAAGGGCACTGTGGTAGCTTGAAATCAGCCCTCGAAGGAATATTAAGACCATGAAAATACTATAAATCAGGACTTTTTTCTGGAGAGCCAGTTTTTAAAGCATTTGCCAGCATATCGCTACCCATATTTTTCATAGTCCAGACTCAAGAGGACCAAGCCTAGTGAGAAAAAAGAACTTAACTCTCCACAATACTGAAGGCCAAACTTTTGAGTTCCTTTTCATGTCCCAGGCAGTCATCCAATAATCGACACCTAAAATGGATATCCCCCTCAGGGAACACCTTACTTCCTACCCAGTGGGGCATAACTTTTCCCTAGAACCTTTATAAATTATTCCTGAATCATATCAGCCTAGCATAAGAGACACTGGGAGGTCAGGGAAGAAGGGAGGGAGTATTGTTTCCTTTCAACATCAATAGCTGCCCTTGCACAGGTTTTCACATGCGTGTGAGTTGAGATCTCATTGATTTCCAACCTCAGAGTAATTCACTCGCCCATATTGGAGCATCATCTCAGAGGAGTTTACACCATTTTGTTTCCATTTGAAAGGTTAAGAGCTAGCTTTGCCTCATTATTGTAATTCGGGGGGCGGCAGGGGAACAACCCAGAGGTCTGTCAGTAGGAGGCAGAGTAAGTAAATCAGAGCCTAACAATACAATGTAATGCAGTGGTGTCATGAAACAAAAAAAAAAGAATGGGCAGAGATATGTACTGAATAATAACATAGATGACGAGAACCAAGATATGTTGTTACATGGAAAAAATAGTACCAGAACTCATTCTTATGAGGCACATATGTACCCATATGTACCCACAAAATAAAAAGGCATGTATGTACCCATATGAATACTCTGTCTGTTCAGAGGTTTTGGAAAATTATATACACTCAACCATAATAATAGTCACCTCTTAGGAGCAGGATTTGGGAAGGGGAGGGAAACTTCCACTACCAGTGATACTTAAGGGTTTTTGTTTGTTTGTTTTGTTTTTTAGAATTTTTTTTTAGATTTTATTTATTTATTTTTAGAGAGGGAAGGGAGAGAGATAGAGAGAAACATCAATGTGCAGTTGCTGGGGGTCATGGCCTGCAACTCAGGCATGTACCCAGACTGGGAATCGAACCTGTGACACTTTGGGATACTTAAATGTTTAAATGTATACATATCACTTTTATAATTTAAAATATTATGAGCTACATACCTATTGAATTTTACACTTAATGTGTATTTCACCCTCTGTAAATCATACCTAAATTTAAGAAGAAAAGGAACCTGACACAAACCTTAAAGCAATCTTGTTAAAACTAACATTATTGGACTAAGGCTTCTCTCTGGCATTCCACTTTAAATGTGCACTTTTGGTCAGCTCCTTACTGAGAAATTAAGAGGTTAACACTTTGATTCATTTTATGTAATCATGATTATTTTGAAACAGCACATTTGTTATCTTCTCAACATTTTTACCATGCTCAAGGATTCTTTCTTTTTCTCTACTCCCCAAAAGTGTTATTGCTCAGGAAACTGTGAAATACAAGCTATTTTGCTTTGTAATTTTTATTCAGTAACTTGAGAGAGAAATATTGATCTATTGTTTTACCCAGCCATGCATTCACTGGCTGATTCTTTTATGTGCTCTGATTGGAGATCAAACCTGCAACTTTGGCATGTCGGGGTGACATTCTAACCAACTGAGTGACCTGACCAGGGCTGAAATAGGAGTTATTTTGGAGGGGAAAAGTTGGCAATGTTGATTTATTGCAGAGACATATTGAAAAATGACAAAACAAAATCCCCACCATTTTGGTAATTATCATTGGTACGCAGACAATGTGGCAAACGTATAAAATTCCCTTGGGAAGCAACAGAATTCGATTGTTACACCAAGCCCTAAACTGATTAAATTTATGCATTATTTTTTTCTGGCATGAAAATACTGTATGGAATGTTTACCAAGTCTCTTTTGCTCCTTTCCGTGAAGGAAGTTTCTGAAGAAGATAAGGAAAAAGAGGAGAACGCTGCTGTCAAAATCCAAGCAGTTTTCCGGGGCCACTTAGCCAGGGAAGAGGTGAAGAAAATGAAAGATGGTGATGTTCAAGAAGAGAAGAAACAGGAAGACAACTGAGGAGACTGGTTTTGCCCTCAAAAAAAGCATGAAAAAAAGAATCCAAATCCATCCACCTTGTTGCGATTGTCGTTTTTTTTTCCTTAGTAAGGGAGATTCGATGTAGTGAAGTAACATTTGTTGCTGTTGTGAAAATCTGTCGTGAGCGTTTGTTTAATAAACATGCCATTGAACACATGCTTCTTGAAGATGCCTCTGAGATCATCAGTCTGTTTATACTTCTCCCGAGTCTATGTATAGAGACCCTTGGACTCGAGGGGCAGACCAGGAGCATCTTGGGCTCTCAGAGATCTCAGAGGACACACGGTCTAACCGTCAGCTCACGGCCACATTCCATCACAAACCTGTAAAGTGGTCTTTCAGATTCCGTTTCACTCGTAGGGAGAGAATTCCACTGCCTTTCGAGAGGAGCTCGTTTAATTTTAGAGTAGCTTGAATTATTAGATGAGCTGAGTCAAAAATCCGTCTCCTTACAAGTTTTCATTTGTCATGCCTGCATTCAATCCTTTATTGAAAAATGTATTGTGCAGAATTCATGTGCTGGGGTATAGTAATGAATATCTGTTCTTATATTTATGCAACTGACAGTTTTTTATTATCTTGCTCTCCAGAATGACACAGAATAAGACTAATGTATTTGAAAAAGAAAGCTTTGATAACATCATACACAAGTAGACTCTTCTCCAGCCAAAACTCCTCGTGTTTCTTTCATGTATCAGTGGTAGTACCTTCATCACGAGCTCACGGACTTCTTTCAGGAAGCCATTCAAGCCATATTGCCTAATTTTTAGAAAGTTCAGTCTCTCCTTTTGAGGCCTCCCTACCCTTGAATGTTCAAGAAACTGCAGGAGTTTTGTCTTACACCAAAAGCTGCAGTTCCCTTCCCAAAAGAAAATGGAGAGAAGGTAGATTCTTATCATTTAATGCTGTTACCTTCTCCCACGATGAGGCAGCCCAGTCTGGCAGACTGATGACATATCCTGGCTGGTTCCAAATCCTGTCTGCAGCACACTGGGCCCCCCAGGCTTTGGTCCTAGCATTACACCTCTCTTAGTTCGCAGCCACACAGCTGTTTCCCTAAAGCTCAGTAACACGTCTGGGTGGCTTAGTCTTGAGGAGCTTCCAAACCAGCCATAGTGTATGCATAACAAGTGGTCTGCAGCAAACACTTAGATCTCTGTCTTAAGCTCAGACTTTGTCTTTCCACAAAGCAGTGTTACTTCAGGTGCCCCACGCCCCTTCCCGGGCACTGAGCCCTTGTCAGACTCCACGACAGCAGTTTACCCAAGCGACCGCCACTGAAATACAGGTGATTTATGCCAATGCTTTCAAGATGGTGGCATTCATTCTCTATCTCCACCCACTGCTGGACAGCCACCCCCCTTCTGAGATCCTGCTGGCACGAGAGAGCTGCTTGCCAACTAAACACAAGTCTCAAATACCCACTGGACTCCTTCCTCCCGTCCTTAACCCCACTTTTCCAGTTCTGGAGAAAAAGAAAATCAACTCTTCCAGCATTCCACCTGCTCATTTCCAACGGCGTTCACAGTGCCAGCCTCCAACCCCCTTCTTCTCAAAGGAATCCTGCTTGGGGGTTGTCAGCAGGACCCAGAATCAATGCAAAGGCTTAGCTTCTCAGTCCTGAAAAGCAGACGGGAAGGAAAAAGACGTTTCCACCCTAGTGAATATGTAGTGTGGCAGGGCGGGGGTGGGGTGGGGAGAGGGGAAGGTGCCAGCTAACTTTTACAATACTTCTGTTATACATGTAAAGTGATTTCCAGTACACATACATACACACACAGACAGACACAGAACACTGTGCTTTCCAGTACACATACATACACACACACTCAGACACACACACCCCTAATGACCTAGTGGCAGTAATGAAGTTTTTGGTGAGGGAGGAAAAGGAAGAGGAGAAGGTAGGGAGGAATGAATGTGGTAACAACACAGGAATATCACTTTGTTAGCACTTACTGCTTTTCATCTTATCTCTCTGGCTGCTCCTCAATCTCCTCTGCTGGTAACTCTTCAAGTCCCCAACCACTAAATGCTAAAGTGACCCCAGTCCCAGTCCTTGGACCCCTTTTCAAGCAATCGAACTTAACTTGTTGATCTCATCCAATCTCATGGCTTTAAAAGCCGTCTGCATGCTGATTACCCCCACATGTGTACTTGTAACAGTGGACCTTTCTCCACTCCGGCGCCAGACTTGTGGATTCAGCTGCCTACTTAACATGACTGCATGGATGTCCGCAGGCAACTCAAAGTTAACAAGTCCAATAACTCGTTACTGCTTCTGATAACAGCTCCTGATATTACCCCTCCAATCTTAAATTCCCTCATCTTCCATCTCAGAAAACGACCATTGTGTTCTTCTGTTTGCTCAAGGCAAAAAAACGTAGAACTCATTCTCAACTCCTCTTTCCCTCACACCTCATTTACAATTTACCAGCAAAGCCTGTGTGCTCTGTCAACAGAATCTGACCACTTTTATTTTTACTACCCTGGTCCCAGTTCCTATCACCTCTCTTGTGAATTACTGCAGTCACCTCTACATTGGGCGGTCAGCCATCGCCATCCCAAAGTCAGTGGTTTCTTTTTCTCATGGGTCTGTGGATCAGATGCACTTTAGCTGGAGCTAGGCTGGACTTCAGGCTTCAGGTTCAGGTCTGCTCCAAGCAGAAGGTTTGTGGGTCAGCTGGGAAAGGTCTGCTTCCGGCTGTGAGCCCAAGGGTGGATTGTGGCACCTCTTGTGTGTGCATCCTACTCAGAGCCGGTGCTGAAAGCGCTGCCCAAGGCATGTGCTCTTCTCGTGGTGGGGAAAGAAAGAGAAAGCTGTAATGAAAGAATATTTCAAGTTTTTGCTCATAACCCGTCCAGCAACATCTCACTCACTGAAGGAACTCATCTGACCAAGCCCAAAGTCAAGAGGTAAGGAAATACACTGCTGGCCATGCAACCACAGCAAAGACCTCATATACGCACAATGCTTCCACAGGGTGGTGGAAATTTGTGAAGAACCAATGATTCAGCTGACCATAGTCTGCTCTCTTGGTTATATCATTTGCATCCTTTTCACGTGCAAAATACATTCACTCCTATCCCAAGACCCCAAAATGGTCCATCAAATCCTTGAAATTCAGGATCTACCTTAGGTCTAGGCATGGCTGTTCTTGATGTACAGACCTACAAATTGAAAGAGCAACCATTTTCTCCTCATGCATCCAACACACAACAAATGATGGACAGGGACCATATGACCAAAACAACAACAACTCTTTCATTTAGAAGGGGGAATGAATCATGGAAGCAAATACCAGTTACTGGATCATACAATTATTAAATACCACTGAGCAAAGATGGTCACGTTTTTCTATTTGGGGAGGGGAGATGATGTTCAATGATTAGGCATCAGTTGTCCTCCCTGTGAATAACTCTCCAGTCCACTCTCCATAGCTCTTGGCTCTACAGTCTAGAAAATTATCTTTTCCTTCATCTTCCTTAGTCATTTGGAAAGGGCATTGGCTAATATGCCCTTCCTGGTAGATAAGGGAGTTTCTCGCCCGATTCCTGTCCATAGGAAATTGAGAGCCCAGAGGTCTCTTTACCTCTTGCACATCTTCGGTCTCTCTTAGTTATTAGTGATGCTTTTGCCCACAAACTCTTCTTAAAAGCCTTGTGAGTTTCCTCTGTTTGATTCCGGTCAGCTCCATGTGCCAAACCCTGTACCCACGATGTCTTTCAAGATATGCCTCCCTCTCTCTAAGTTTAATTCTGTTAAGAGTGACAAATTAGAACCAGTATTTTAATGTCCTAAAGCCTCATACCTGTCATAAGTAGTCTCCCTGCTTCCACCCTTTCTGCCTGTCAACACAGCAGTGAGAGTGTCCTGTTATAGTTGAAGCCATACCATGTCACACTGCTTGAAACCCCCGCTGGTCCCTCGTCTCATCCAGAGTAAAAGCTAAAGTCTTCATAGTGGACTACAGAGTTCTCTGCAGAGCTTGCCTCCCGTCACCTCTCTAAGCCCCTTCCTTTATCTTTTTATTTTTCTCCTTGATTCTGAACACCATCTTTTTTTAAATATATCTTTTTACTGCCTGCTTCTTTCTCCTAGAATGTACATTCCAGAGGATAGAGATTTGCGATTTTGCTAACTGCCTAGCACCTATTTTACACGCAGCAGGAAAGACTGAATCATTTCTAGTGGTCCATACTGAAGTGGCAGGAGCCCTAACAAATAACTTCTTCCATCAAAGTAGCTTCAGTTGGGTTACATACCCATTGCTTAAGGAATCGTTGAGACCAGGAGGAAAGAATATGCTAATTACCCAGCTGTGGAGTAGAGGGTCAATTCTATGAAAAAACCCAGCTGAATGTCAAGAAACTTTAAAGTTCCTTCTAGAAAACAGAGTAACATAGTCAGGAGGAAGGGTTAGTGGATACTGGGCAGGCAAGCGACAAATACCCACCACAAAGGCTCCTCACTATACTGCACTGTTTGTTAAACTGTTGGTCAAAACCAAAGGCTAGGAAAGTATTGGGAATGAAAGGAAAAACTTAAAACAGCAAATGAGGGATTAAACACGGGACTGTAGAGATTTGAGGAGCCTGCTACCTAAACGGCAATGTGTGGAGCTGGGCCGTGCAAACGGGAAATCTCTCCAAAGTCAGAGCTTTGGCGGCTGGGAGAATATGAAAAGTCATGTGAGGAAGAACTTAAACTGTTTTTTAAGAGATTTTATTTATTTATTTCTAGAGAGGGGAAGGGAGGAGGAGAGGGAGAGAAACATCCACCATTTCCCTCTCACGTGCCACAACCGGGGACCTGGCCTGCAACCCAGGCATGCGCCCTGACTGGGAATTGAACTGGTGACCCTTCCGTTTGAGGGATGATGCCCAACCCCCTGAGCCACACCAGCCAGGGCAGAACTTAAACTGTTTTTAAAATCCATGCAAAATTTACTCTGTGGGAGGCTAAGTGTGAGAGTTTTTTTAAATGTGAATTTTTCATAAAACACTCTTATGAACACTTGCTGGAGAAAAGGAGTCTTCTGTCAAAATCATCAGTCAGTCCTTTTTAGTAACTGGAAGCCGAATATCACCTGGAGGGACCTGCTCTGCGTTGCACTGTGGGAGCAGCTCAGTGAGCGCCTCTGAGTGGATGGTGA